TTATGGGTGAACTTATTTATTGTTTATTAAAAAAAATAGCAAACCCTGAAAAAAAATCTTACTTGTAAATTGCTGTTATCATTCCCCAAAGGTGTTTCTCCCCTGCAGGGGGGTGTCAGTCTGTTTCATCAGGATTGGGCACCAGAAGCAATGAGCACCATTTATATATTTATTTGAAAAGCCTCTGTTGGGTGGAAAGCTTGTTCCTTTAAGATTTCAGCCTTTTTTAAGCTCCCACTACTTTAAACAAAGGCCCCAGGAAGAGGCCATGGAATTTATGATAATACTTTTCAACTCTTTCTTTGCCTGTTTTCAAAAAACCGTCTTTTCTTTGACTTTGGATAATGCAGACAGCTCTATTGGAATATAAAAATTTAAACTTTAAACCCATGAACTCTGCTGGTCTGCAGAGGTGTTTTAATGTCAAACCCAGGAAATGTACACAGGCTGCAGAATTCACAACTCATCACTGTCACAGCCAGATTAGAGTGTGAGTTAGAGTCATACATTAACCAGGGCTAGGCGGGAGAGCTACAAAAGTAATCAATGTCTTGCACGCACAATGAAAAATAGAAGTAGAGCCGGAGTGTTGGGGGTCAGAAAATAAGCCCACACACACCAGTGCCCTGACATTTATTTAAAAAAAAATTTTTTTTTAGGATGTTCTGAAGTTTGAATTGTCATTTGCATGTTTCAATTCACGGGAAACATCTGGTTTCTCCCTGCAGTGTAGACAAACTGCTCTTATTCTGAACCTGTCATCCATGAAAAGCATGGTTTGGCCTCAATAGGTTTGCTTATGAAAGGCCTGGGGTCCCACTCTGCAGAAATAAACAGCGCCGGGAGCTGGAAGTTGTTCCCTGTTGTAAGTTCTGGCTCAGAGGACTTGGGTGAAGTGGCAGAGCTGAATGGGCTGCATTTATTTTCCAGAGGTGTTTCCTGATTGAGGAGGAGATTGTAAAAATCTTACACAACTTCTGTGAAGTTTGTGCAAAATGCATGTAAAGGGCTCAGAGCCTGGAGGTCAGAGATAGGGGGTGGCAGGCTCTGAGGCAGAAGACCTGGAGGGCATGAAGGCCTTGGGGCTCAGCATAGGCCTCGCCTCCCGGGGCTTTTCAGTCCAGAAGCCCTACTGGGTGTTTGACTGGATTCAAGACCCGCTGTGTGATGTGCAGGACCCAGTGCAGAATGGAAGCACGGGCCCTTGTTCCAAAGCTGTTAAGAACTTTAAGATGAGGGCCTCCCCGGTGGCGCAGCGGTTGAGCGCTGGGTTGCGAAGCTGCCCGCAGCCTCTGCAGCGCCGGTTCGATCCCCGGCTGCTCCCCGGCCACCGGAGGAGGGTCCCGCATGGCGCGCAGACCTCTCCTGCCGCCCGCTTCTCCCCTCAGCAGTGTACTTCGGTCCTTCTGCCTGCTCTGCTCCCCGCTCTGGCTCTGGTGAATTCTCTCACCCTCCCGCGCTTCTGACTGTACCCAGTGCTTGTATGTATAAATAAATAAATAAATCTTAAAAAAAAAGAAACAAAACTTTAAGATGAAAGCAGAGAGTGTTCACTCAAGGGTGGGGCCCCTTGTCCATGGGCTGCTCTGCTTCCACCTCAGGAGCCAGAGAGGAAACCAGGAGCTCTGGGGAAGTACATGCGGGGCCTGGGGAGCATGTCTCCTCGTGGGGGATGATGGCCTGGAGGAAGGCCAGGATGGTCCCATCGCTCTCTGTGCCGTTCATTCCTTCTCAGGCTTCTTTGTTGGTGCGGGGAGCTTGCCAGAGCGCAGTCTGTGTCTTGCTTTGTGTGTAAATGGTTGTAGACAACTCAGCACATGATCGTGGCAGGTGAGAAGCGGTGCGTTTTGAGAGCTTTTTCCTTCTGAGAGTTAATCTCAGCCACCAAGATGCTCCGCTCTCGGGCCCTCCCTTCCTCCTCCTCTTCTCCCACCCTAGCATTCCCGAGACAGGGATGTTTGATTCAGGTGACAACGGCCCGTCATGATACCTGGCTGGCGGGGAAACCTCAGCTAAGATTGGAGTCTAAATATAGGGTCTGCTTCCCCCCTTACTTCCTGCTGCCAGCTCTTCTCCTTTTCATTCTTCCAGCTTTGTTTGTCCCTCCTCATTTAGAGCACACACTCACACGCACACACATACCCCGGCATACTCTGAACATGTGTCCTGCCTGCAGACCCGAACTACCCTTTTTTTTTTTTTAAAGATTTATTTATCCATGCATACAAGAGCTGGGTGCAGGCCAGAGGCACAGGGGGTGAGAGGATTCACCAGAGACAGAGTGGGGACCAGAACAGGCAGACTGACAAAATACACTGCTGAGGGGAGCAGCGGGGAGACAGGAGAGGTCTGCTGCGCCCTGTGGGTCAGCAACCTGGCTGGGATCGAACTCAAACTGCAGTGGCTGCAGATAGCTTCATGGTGCTGAGACTTAACCTCTTGTGCCACCAGGGAGGCCCCTGAACTGCCCATTTTTGATTGCCAAAAAATTTAGGGCCAAACCTAGATCAATAGATTTGGAGGTTCTTCACCCCCTTAAATATGAAAATGCTAATGAGGGAGCCACCTACAGAACACAGGTAACCCCCCCCCCCATGGGACTCCTGCTGTCCTGAGCTGGAGCAGGCCCTGCTGACGGTGCCCAAGTAGAGTAGGGTGCCTGCCTGAGGCGCAGCCTTCTAGGGCCAGAAACCGCTCTGCAAACACAGCAGATTAAGGGGTTTTGTTGAGGTAGACCAGATGGATGGAGAGGCAGGGTTCAAATGAACCCATCATAAATCAGGACTCAGTGGTAGCAGGGGTAAGTCTGGGTCTGGGCCTGACCCTTAGAAGTTTGAGCTCATTTAATTTATTTTTTTTCTTCTCAGAAAAGTACCACATGCTTATTACTAAAAAAAAAAAAAAAATTCGATGCAAAGATCCCCAGATAGAATCTCTGCCAGCCCTTTCAGCTTAATCCTCCTGGTTTTGTCTTCTGTCCCACTAACATACACACAGGTACATATGTGGTTACTGTTTAAGGGGAGCGAAACATGCTTTTCACTTAGAGATTAAGAGAAAATGTAAAAATGGGCACCTGGGCTGGGTGGTCTGGGCCAGGCCACCATCATCCACTTCAGTAATAAAACCAAGGACGGTAAAGTTGTGTTTGGGAAAGTTGTGGCAAACTCAGGTGAAGGAGGAGTTCGCGGGCGAGAGGGCCTTGCTGCGTTTACATTCTTCCCGGGGTGCACGCCCTGGTGCAACAGTGGTTTCTGCCCAGTTCCCTGTCGCCCCCTAGTGGGACAGGAAGAGCTGCTCAGGCCAGGATAGAAGCCTGCACAGTGGACTTTTCACACAGCTCTTGCTCCACGTACCATGTGCTTATGTCCCCATAAGCCCGTTGTGAGTTGAAAATACCGTAAATCGAAAATGCACAGAATACACTAACTTACTGAGCATCCTATCTTAGCCTCCCCTGTCCTTCAGTGTGCTCAGAACCCTCACGTCCCAACAGTTGGGCGGACTCACCCTAACTCAAAGCCAGTTTTATATTAAAATGTTGAATATCTCATGCAATTTGAGGAACATTTCACTGAAGCTGAAAAGCAGTCTGTGCAGTACTGGCTGTTTACCCTCATGATTCATAACTGGTGGGACTGTGGCTCCCTGATAACGCCCAGGATGTGACAGCGCAGGGTTGCTGATCGTGAGCCCAGGACAAGGTTAAAGTTGAAAGTACGGTTTCTACTGAATGCAGTGGCTTTTGCACTGTCGTAAGTTGAGCCATCGTAAGTCGAGCCATCGTTAAGTCGAGACATTGTAAGTCAAGACATCATAAATTGGGGACAGTCGGTAGCTGACTCTCCATTGGTGTGTTTGTCATTCCCTTTGTAAATGTGTTGATATAATGAACACTTGGAGCTCATGGGTCTCCCTCTATCAGGACTCAGCCCTTTGAATTGAATAAACTCCGTGTTTTATGAAAACAAGGCACATTAAGTGCTCACGAGATCCTCAGTCTGGGAGGGTCTAGAATTTTGCAGAGCAACCTGCTGCATGCTTGGTAGAAATCATTAGGGTTTGTGTGCCTCTTTTAGTGCCAGGTCTACTTACTGTTTTCCTGACATTTAACTAAGTACAAAGATTAGTTAAAATCAAACCCTATGGAACCGGTGAGAGCTATTTCTATAGAAATAATTGGCCTCCTTTGAAAAATCTCAGTGGTGGTGAGTTACTAAAAAGACACATAATATTAAATTGTGTGAAAAGCATAAACTGTTGTGAAAAATTATAGAAATCTAGAGTAGTGCACTCAGATTATTTTGCTAGCATTTGCCAGTTATTTTAAAGCTAAAGACACTGGATGTCATCTTTTCTTCCATCCTCCTGAGTCCATGGGGTGTGGATGCTGGTGCCGACGGGTTCTACCTGTGAGAACACCCCCAACCTACATTCCTCACCGAAGCTGGGAGAGAATAACACCTTCTCTGGGGTCTTCACAGCGCCCAGCTGTGAAGCTCAGAATTAGTGTTTAATGGCAGCTGCTTTTGCTTAACCAGATAAACATCCTCGGAGTTCTATAGTTTGATCATGCCTCTATAAACAAAATTAAAATGACAAAATCTGTCACTTTGGGTTAGCATCTTTCTTTTGGGGGGTGGTGAAAAATAAGAGGGGACCTTCTACCCCTCATGATCTCATGATCAGTTTCTTCCCTATTTATGTCTTCTGTTTTGAGGTTGAGTGAATCTCTGAGTACTGACCTAGGACAGCTTCTAAGGCCCCATAGACAGAGGACTGTACTTGAGGGTGTGACTGCCAGTGTTCTGGGTGCGGGGGTGGGGGGCAGTCTCTGCAGCAGGTGCCCTCCTTAGAGAGGCAGCAGGGATGATGCTGTTGGGGGTGGGAAGCCTTTTGGGGTGTCCTGTTTGGCTGGGCAGGCCAGCAATGTTTGTGCCCTGGAGCCTCTCAATTGGAGTGAACTCAGACCTCCACACCTGGGGCCTGTTTCTTTGCAGGGACGGTGAAGGTGAAGAGTTCCAGCATCCAAGTCGGAGATCTAATCATTGTTGAAAAGGTGAGCGGGGCATCCATTTTTCCAGGGCGTGAACAGGACATGGGGGCCACACACTTTGTGACTAGCTCCTTGGCAGTCTATCCACTTTGCCCTGGAGACAGTCTCTTTCCCGTGAGACACACACAGTCTTTGTTCAAGGTTTACGTGTGCTGGGTGGCCAGAAAGCCTGCGTCTAGGCAGAGGTCCCAGTTCTGATGTCCTATTTGATGGGTGTGTTTTTGGTTTTATTTTTTTTCAGCTTCTCATAAAGTCCTTCCCAGAAGTCAGCTTACTACTTAAGCACTTAAAAATATTTATGTCATTTACCTTTTGAGCAATTTCAGCTTGCATCTTTTGACTTAACCGTTACACTTCCCTATCATTTTTATAGGGTGCAAGGGTTAAGTGTAACTTGAGAACAGTAAGAAGGCCAAGAACACATTAAAGAAAAAACACTGTTAATATGTTTGTTACCTCGGCAGCACTCATCTCTGTTTATTGTGTACTCTTGGGAAGGTTTGGGTTCGGGGGTGGCCTCGAGAGTCTGGGAATACGACCGGATTAGAACAGGATTGTGTCTTAACTTGTTTCTTCTGTAGGAAGTGAACTGTGCTCTTTTAAAAGGATTAAATCCAAGAACTCAAAGTCGATTTGAGGCAAAATGAAGCTCTTCTGGGTGGCAGCTCAGAACCACACAAACCCCTTTATGTTAGTTATTGCCGAGTTCTCTGTTCATAATTAAACCCGGGCGGCCCTGGCTCCTCTTTCTTTTTGAGAATGGCTTTTGTTGCCTCCTGCTACTTGACTTCCTTATTCAAATCCCACTGGAAGCCAAACATCAAACTGGAAAATTGGTAGAAGCAGAAGCCTGAGCTGTCTGTGTCAGTCTTCGGTTTCAGCAGGCTGCCTGCGAGACAGGCAGCCCGGCAGTGGCTTGGGCCCTGGGTCCCGGGCTGGAATTTCAGGAGGCAATGGTTGAACTTGCAAGGAAAAAAGCGGGAGGGGGAAGGAGCCTCTTTCCCAGATAAGATTTCAACAAGGAATTAGTAAAGGAACAGCAGAGCGCAGGGTTTGTCAGATTCACAACAGAATCAGTTGCCGAGTCTGTCTTGAACCAAGGCAGACTCTTGAAGGAGGCTGTGGGTTTCGGGGGGGTCCCCCCCAGGGGCCAGTGGGGGGCGGAAGTCCCGCACACGGTCATGCACGCTAACAGTCTTCTTCTTCATAACCCAGAACCAGCGGGTCCCTGCTGACATGATCTTCCTGAGGACGTCAGAAAAAAACGGTAAACATCTGGGATCAATTTTGAAAATAGCCATTAACCTTTCAGTGGTAATTTGGCAAAATAATCATTTGAAAATGTAACAGAAGTAGATGATCATTTTGGAGCCATGAGGCGAACAAAAACATCTTTTTGGGTCGAGCAGTCTTGTAAAAAATATGTTGTTGGTGCTCACCAACAACATAGGTAAGTGGTTTAGATTGTTGCAGAGACAGTGCAGAGTCACAGCTGGGGGAGCACACCAGTGGAGCTGTGGTTTTTCCTCTTGGGGCTGCATTTAGCTTAACCTGAGGAACCCAGGCTGTCCGGTTCCCCAGAAGGTGCCTGTGACCCCTGCCCAGAGTGGACTCCCCCGTGCCAGCCCTCGTGCTGGGTCTGCTCATCCCTCTGACTCCTTCCAGCGAGTTCCTGAGGTCTGCGTTTCTCCCCATTTTACAGACGGGAACACTGAGGCTTAGCAAGAGTGAGTGAGTGAGCGAGGATTTGAATCCAGAGCTTTCTGATCCCAGAGCAGATGGAGAAAGTGGGAAATCACCGGGTATTTATCTTCCCTTTTGCTCACTGGCCAGTGAAGGGCTGTTTTTTAGGAGGATGAGGGCAGGAACTGCACACAGCAGCCTGGGGCATCCTGCATTGCCGGCGCGTGGACAGCACATGCCCACCTTCCTCCCTAGGGTCCTGCTTCCTGCGGACGGACCAGCTGGACGGGGAGACAGACTGGAAGCTGCGACTCCCTGTGGCCTGCACGCAGAGGCTCCCCACTGCCTCTGTGAGTAGCTGTCCCTGCAGAAGCTCAGCGGGCTCAGAGCAGGACTCTCAAACTTAGATGCTCAGGGGCCAGACGTGGGGTGGCAGGTTGAAGTGGGGTGGGGCGGGGTGAGGGGGGTAGTATGGGGGCTTGGAGAGACTGAGCGCTTGTTGTTCCAAGTAATGTGGCCAGGGTGGGGGACATTCTCAGAACCCTAAGAAACCACAGCCAGGTGTTACTGAACAATGGAGTCTCTATCCCACATGCACAGATGAGGTAGGACAGCAGGTCTGTGAGGAATCAGCTGTTTGCGAATTGAGTGGCAAGGAGGCAGGACATAAATCCAAATCTGCTGCCCTGATTCACAAAGGAAATGAGGGTACAGAGTTTTGGGGACCAAGGTTGAGAATAAAGGAGTTAAATGCTATGAGCTGAAAAGCAGGTTAGGGGCAAAGGAACATGGACTTGGCCAAAGCTCATGGGCTGGTCCCAGGATACTCTATACGTGAGGTGACCTTCAGATCGCTGCAGTTTTGAACTCTTGGTGGCCTTGCCTCTGGGAAGCCCCATCCTCTGTGTTCTCAGTCTCCTGCCAGCCTTGTTGCTCAGCTCAAGGCTGTTTGCCTCTTCTGCTCAGGCTGTGTCCATAACTTGTGTCTGTAAATTCAGGCCACAAAGAGAAAGCTACATCATTGTTTCCCAGTTGCACCATTTTGCCTCGGTTGCAGGGGTGCCTTGCAGAAAAATTAATGTGAAGCTGGAGCTCAGCACCCCTGCCAAAGCCTCCAAAGCTTTCTCTTCTCGCTGAGAGCCAGCTGGGCCTGGCTGTCACCTTCAAGCCCCATGACATCTGTCTCTCTGCCTGGGCCCCGACATCTGTGCCTGATCCTCTCCCCCTGCCCACCGCCTCTCTGCCATTTGCCCTGGCCTTGCCCTCCGCGGGAATAGTGGTAACTGGCATCTGCCCTGCTGGGCCTCGCCAGCGCGCACTCTGAGATGCTCAGGTCTCCTTGTTGGGAGGTGTTTCAGGCTGCCCCCTCCTGGCTTTCATACCCCACTGGCTCCGAGGTGGTGTCTTCCACAGCCTGTGCTCCCTGCTGTGTGTCCAGGGTGTGAAACTGCACCACAAGGGCCCTGGGGAACGGGGTGGCCAGGAAGCTGGAAGCAGCAGGGGCTCCACAGCCCCACCCAGCCTTGCCCACCGCCCCACCTCACTCACATCACAGTTTGTGCAGTGAGACGGAGGGAGCCAGAGTCAGTTTAAACAGAAGCCACTAGGTTGCAGCGTGCCCACAGCCACCCATGGCCCGAAGGCTGACGCCTGCTGGTGCTCGTGGCCACGGGACGCTGCTCTTCGCCGTTCACGAGGGAGAAGGGCCAGAGAAGGTCTGTTCTGGGGGTGCTGACCTGACCGCAAACAAGAAGTGAGACAGGACCATCATCACGAGTTACTTTTAAGCCAGTGGCTCTCCAGTTTCTCCACATCCTCATCAACACTCTCCTGCTTCTTTACTTTTCTGGACACATGATGCTGTGTAGTCGTGAACTTCTGTTGACAGTTGCTCTCCTGACACTACCTGCATTCGCTTGCTGCCCTCCCTGTCCCCGCAGGGGCCTTGCACAGAGAAGGTGCCTAGAACCGGGGGCTGTCTGCAGCCAGAGTAGCAGAGGCACCCCACCATTTGGGAAAATGCTGGGTACCCCGATCCGCAGGGATCTGAGCCTCTCAGGGTGTCTTCTTGGTGCACAGCCCCCAGTGGAAGTTGGTCCTCGCTCTCCGCCTGCCTTGTGATTTTGAGCTTGTTTGGATGACACAGTTGCTTCTGGAAAACAGTGGTTGCCTCCTGAAATTGCTTTAATCGTAAACTGACTCTGTTTTAACTCCAAAATGTCCCCTCTTGTCTCACAGGATCTTCTTCAGATTCGATCGTACGTCTATGCTGAAGAGCCAAATATCGACATTCACAACTTCGTGGGGACGTTTACCAGGGTGAGCAAGCTTGGCATGACCTGGACTCTGGCCTGGGAGGGTGGTGTGGGTCCTGGTCAGGAGGATGCTGTGTGTGTCGGGTGGCGGGGAGTGGGGGAGGTTGCTGAACCCAGCAGGAGGCTGCCTGTGGCTCCTCAGCCAGGTGGATGCAGCAGGGCTGTCCTGTAGGGCCAGACACCTTGCCTTACCTGTGTGCCGGAGCCCAGCCTTGTCTTAATGGTGAATGAAGTGTGAAAGCAGAGGCTGTCTCTGCTGTTGTTACCTGTGTCAGCCCCGTCTGCCATGGCCAGAGGGTTTTTAAGCCACTTCCCGAGCTTTCAGAAGAGAAATGACATTTGGATTGAAATTATTTCAGCAATTATAATAGGACCATGGATTTATAGAACCCCAGTGAGATGATCTCTCTGCCCTTTCCGGCCAGCCAGGGCGCCTCCCGTTTCAGCGCCGCCTCTGAAGCTTGCTTTCAGCAGTGGAGCCTGCGCCGCTTAGATCACAAAGCCGCTTTCCCGGTGTCTTGCTGGGGTGACTGTCCCAGGAGCCTTTGTCTGTGACCATGGTCCTCTGCTCTCCCAGGAAGGGCAGGCTAGAAACCGCCTGTGCATTCCCCCAAACCTTGGTGGATAAGCGAGTGTCTGTTTGGTGTCTTCCAGGAGGACAGCGACCCCTCCATCAGCGAGAGCCTGAGCATCGAGAACGCGCTCTGGGCCGGCACGGTCATCGCGTCGGGTAAGCGCCCTCTGAGGAATATGGTAGCAATTTGAAAAGGAAAGAAAATTCTCTGTGTAATTAGAATAATCATCTGTCAGTTGGGAAAATTAGCCCTCGGTCAAATGGTGTTCCCCACTTGTTCCTGTCCCCTCCCCGCGCCCCGAAATGACACCGGCATTGATTGCCCCTTGGACACTTACAGACGCCAGGGGCCCAGCGGCCTGGCCTGTGGACAGCTCGGCTCTGTCCACTCTGGGAATAGCCCTTAATTGCTGCTGCAGATTGACATCCTAATCTGTACCAGAACTGGGCTGGCCTGGATGCCCTGGCCGGAGGGTGTGTCCCTGGGGCTGCCAGCCCGGCCCTGCTGGTACTGGACTCCCGGCACAGCCAAGGGTGGGAGCCCCTGGGGCTTAACTCACTAAGGTGGTGTGGAATGTGGGGACTTTGTTTTGTTTTTTAAAGATTTATTTATGCATACAAGAGCTGGGGTGTGGGCCGAGGTGGTGGGGGGTGAGACGATTCACCAGAGACAGAGGTGACCACTCAGGACCTGGGGCCAGAGGCCAGGGGCTGCAGAGGCTCCATGGGCAGCAGTGAGTTGCTGAGAGAACCTGCTCGTAAGACTGAGGAATGGGGACGCAGTGTTACCCCATCTCGGGTATCCAGGGGAAACCAGAAACTCCATTTTTTTTTTTTTTTTTTTTTAATGTGGAAGTTCTTGTGTTTAAAAGCCAGCAATTCATCCAAAACCTGTCGGGCTCTTCCTTTGCAGACCCAGCAGCTTGCCTCTGGGCTGCGGCTGGTGCCGTCTCACCTGGTCTCACCTGGAGTTCAGATCTCCTGGGGGCACCACCCAGGGAGGTGTTGGGGGAAAGTGTGGGAGCATTTGAAGGCCTCCAGGTGGCAGAAGCCAACAGGAGAAACCCTGCCTTGGGGGCTCTGTTACTGAGATGGCCTCAAACCCTGGGCATCAGGGCTCAAGACCCAGCGGGAGTGAGAGGAGTGGCTGCGAGGCCGCCTCAAGCTCAGTCCAGCTGGGCTTCCGCCTTCCGGCCATCTGCCATGGTGCCAGCCCGTGGCCGCCGGAGCCTGCCATCTGCTCGGGAGCCAGCCTCCCGGCCTCCATCTGCTGGGACACCGTCAGCTCCCTGTGAGGGGGGGATCTGCGTGCATTATGGGGGCTCACTGCGTTCTCCTGGGGGCTCCTGGGGAGACACAGTCCTGGCACTCTGGGAACTGGGCACTGTCCCAGGCGGGGTCTGCACCTCCCTGAATTTTTGCAGACCCCCTGACCAGTGGTGTCTGGGCAGGGGCCTCGCGCTTCTTTCTCCACCGCTGTCCAGGCGGTGGGTGTTCCCGGGGCCTCCCCAGGCTCCTGCGTGCCTCTTCCGCTGCTGGATTTATCCCAGCTCTCCTCCTTGTTCTCCTTGATGTTCTCCCCACTGTGCTAAATGTTTCCTTTGTAAATGTTTGATGAATAATGCCAGTATCCCCCACCCCTGCAAAAAACAGGCTTGTCCGCCCCCCTCCAGGCGGCAGTGGGTATGACAGCGTGTATGACAGCGTGTATGACAGCGTGCCTTTCCCCGCCTCTTGGCTGACACTGCATGTTGTCACTCTTCTGAATTTTTGTTAATCTGATAGAGAGCAGCTATTTTGGGCCATTTTGCATTTCTGTGACGACTCTCTGGGTTTGGCATCTTATCTAATATCAAGCAGCCTCTATATTGCTTCTGTAAATTGCTTTCAGAAGGAGCCATGTCATTCATTTTGGTGAGGGGGGGGCGACAGTGAGGAGGGAGAAGAGAAGTACTTCGCAAAGATCTCCCCAAATGTTCCAGTTGGACGCAGAATCTGAAAGGCATCAGACTCAGCAGGAAGAATGGGCTCTAGTAGGAAGGGCAGACTCACGTTTCCACAAGGGTTCGTGAAGATGGGCATGTTCTCGGCCCCTCGGGAAGCCTCTGAGAACAGCGGCACAAAGGACAGCCGGCCCCTCGCTGGCATCTTTTGCTCTTAGAGGCTGGACCCCACAGAGCAGCATTGACCATAGAACTTTCACAGTAATGGGGACATCCTGTACCTCCGCTGTCCCCCCAGCGCCGCTGGCCTTGTGTGGCTGGTGGCGACGGGACTGTGTCGCACGTCACTGTCATTGCCATTAAAGAGCCTCCCGTGGCCAGTGGCTCATCTTCCTGACTCTTTCGGGGTGGGGTTTAGCAAGCCGGCTCTCAGGGGAGTCGGGCGCCCCCGTTTGCAGACCCACCTGTCCGTGTTACTATTCCTCTGTCTTCTCCTCCTAGGTACCGTGGTGGGGGTTGTCCTTTACACTGGCAGAGAGCTCCGCAGCGTGATGAATACATCAAATCCTCGAAGCAAGGTGTGTGAGCCGCCTTGGCTGCCTGGCCTGGACAGGACCCTGGCCTGATGTGGGCTGATGACAGTGTGGGTGGGTTAAAGCTTGAGCCAGGTGGGTGGGTTAAAGCTTGAGCACCTGGCAGTAGCCCCTCACGTGCCGTCTTTCCACATGTACATGCGTATGCACGTGCTCGTGTGTTCCTATGAGCATGTACACACATATATATATAGTCCCCCATGCCCGTGCACACACACAGCCACACCTGCAGTCTTCAGAGCCTCGAAGCTAAGGCTCCTGGCACTGGCTGTTGTCCATGCCCTGTGCCCTTGCACCAGCTGTGAGTGCTGGGCTTCTAAGCCTGGTCTCCTGGACTAGAGATGGCCCCACGGTGCCAGCTCTGCTCAGGCCCTACTGTGAGGAAGGGGCAGCCCAGCCTTGTGCTCCCACCCCCAGCACAGAGTGGGATCTGTGGCCTGTCAAATCAGGGGTTTGTAGGGTGCTCACCCTCGTTAGTAAGGTCACTTGACAGTCGTCCTTGCCACCGTGACAGCCACCGTGAAAACTGTAACGTCCTCTGATGTTGGAGGCTCAGCCCGGGCCGGGGGCAGTGTTGGGTTTGATGTGCTAGTTAGAAGCATTTTTGAAGACATGTGGAAATGTGTAGTCATTAGAACCATGACGTCATTAACACAGCACCTACAGCTCAGGCCCTGCTATGGCATGTGCCCCTTACTCGCAGCTGGTACTGAGCCCGCATGCAGCGTGCTGGGCACACGTCATGTCACTGCTGCCCGGTGGGATGGTGGGGGCTATGCCAGGCGGCACCCCCAAATGCACCAAGAACCCGCTGTGCATGCAACTCTGAACCTTGGGTCATTTAATCCGATGTGAGATCAGAATTCCTTGAGGCCCCTGGGGTGGCTGTTAGGAACGTCAGCCCATGTTCTCAAGCCAGGACCCGGGACCGATGAGTCCACTGCCTGTGCCAGGTGGGGTGTGCGTGGGGAGCAGCTGTTCTCCTGGTGGGCGTGGCCACGCCCCCTCATGGCCAGCCCCTCTGTGCACTGTCCCCAGATCGGCCTGTTTGACCTGGAGGTGAACTGCCTCACGAAGATCCTCTTTGGCGCCCTGGTGGTGGTGTCCCTGGTGATGGTGGCCCTGCAGCACTTTGCTGGCCGCTGGTACCTGCAGATCATCCGCTTCCTCCTCCTATTTTCCAACATCATCCCCATCAGGTGGGCCTCGCTGGGTCGTGAACGTTCTTCCTTTTACTCATTGAAAGACCGTGGTTTTGTGTCTTCAAGAAGGAGCTGGTCGCTTTGTAGCATGATGACCAAGGGTGGTCGGGGTCAGCTGGGGGAGCCACGCTCTGGGACGTCCCAGGTGGGGCACATTCCTCCTGCCCCATCCTTTCTTGAACTACTCTCTGCAGTAAATTCTCATGTCTGCTTTGCTGCAGTGGAAATATGAACAAATATGAAAAATCTGTTGGCCTAGAGAATCATTAATATAAAAGTAAGGCTACAACAACTGATCTTTCAGTATTTTAAGTGACTTGCAGCCCAGAGCAGAAGTGCTCCGAGAACACAGCCGGCCACGCCAGGCGCCGGCTCCTGCAATCTGGCTTCAGGCTGTGCCTGCTCCAGCAGGAGGCGTGGGGTCCTTGTGCTCACAGGAGTCTTGCGTGTGTCCCATTAACCTGCTTGCTCTGGCTCCCCGACTAGCTTGCGTGTGAACTTGGACATGGGCAAGATCGTGTACAGCTGGGTGATCCGCAGGGACTCAAAAATCCCGGGGACAGTGGTTCGTTCCAGCACCATTCCTGAGCAGCTGGGGAGGATTTCCTACCTGCTCACGGACAAGACAGGTGAGCTGTTTCCTTCTCAATATTATTTTCTTCACCTGTTGGGGACGATCGACTATTGGTGGCGATGACAGCAGCAAAGCCTTATGTAATGCTCTTTACACGTAAGGTGCTGTTCTGGGTGTTTATGTGTGTTCCTCAGTTTACCTTTACCCTAATTTATTAGGTACCTTGGGAGTATTTTTTAAAGACATATTTGTTTATGCATACAAGAACTGGGGTGCAGGCCAGAGGTGCAAGGGGTGAGAGGATTCACCTGAGACAGTGGGGAGCAGAACAGGCAGACTGACTGAAATACACTGCTGAGGGGAGCAGCGGGGAGACAGGAGAGGTCTGCTGTGCCTTGTGGGTCAGCTCCTTGGCCGGGGATGGAACTCATGCTGCAGTGACTGGAGAGAGCTTGATAGCTCTGACTTGAACCCCTGCACCACCAGGGACACCCACCTTGGGAGTATTTTTATCCTCATTTTACAGAGGAGGAAGAGAAGTGCAGAGAGCTTCAGGCTTTGAACTCAGTCTGAGTCCACACCCCAAAATGCTGCTCTATAATTTAATCATAGTCAAGAGCAAGGATTGGGAAGTGGGGGGACCTAGGTTTTAACTTCATCTCTGCCTCTGAGTGACCATGCGGGAAAAGGAGTCTTGCAAAGAACCCCGGGTAGGTCACCAAGTGGAGAGAGACTAGGTTTCAGGAAGGAGAGGGATGAGGACAGAGTTCGGCTCTGTCAATTCAGGAGCCCTGGGGGTGAGGAGTGGGGACAGGGTTCTGTGACTCCGCTCACCTTCCCTCCAAGATCTACTCAGATGGAATCTGATTGGCCCTAGTGTATGTCGTGTGTCACCCTCTGGGCCAATGGAACTAGCCAGGCGCCCTGATTGACATCTCTCATGCCAGGGAATGAGGGCTCCAATGTACGCGGGGAAACCAGGATGTCCTCTTCGAAGGGGAGGGGACTGGATTCCAGGCAGACAAAGCACCACAGATGTCCATGCCGGCCGGCATGCAGTAAACTCTCAAAAAAAAAAAAAAAAAAACAAAAAAAAACCAGCTGCCATCACATTTAATAGTAACACAGTTTAAGGATGTGGACCCAGCTGATCTGCTGTGTGTTTCAGGGACGCTTACGCAGAATGAGATGGTTTTCAAGCGGCTGCATCTGGGCACCGTGGCCTATGGCCTCGACTCCATGGATGAAGTCCAGAGCCACATGTTTAGCATTTACACCCAGGTAAAACTCTCTGCTTCAGTGCCCCATTCTTCTATGTCGTTCCCTGTGATTACAAGTGTTACAGGTGCACAGTGTACATCATTACATTTATCAACACCTATGTTAAGATTGATTCAGTGCTATATGATTCGACTTTCAAAGTGAATAATTCAGTGGTTTTTAGTGTATTCAGAGTTGTGTAACCATCATTACTACCAATTTTTTTTAAAGATTTATTTATTTATACAAGAACCAGGGTACAGGCCAGATGTGCGGGAGGGTGAGAGAACTCACCAGAGACAGAGTGGGGAACAGAACAGGCAGAATGATGAAATACACTGCTGAGGGGAGCAGCGGGTGAGACAGGAGAGGTCTGCTGCACCATGTGGGACCCTTGCCGGCCAGCCGGGATTGAACTGGTGCTGCAGAGGCTGCGGACAGCTTCACAGCGCTGAGCTCAACCACCTGTGCCACCAGGGGAGGCCCTATCAATTTTTTTTTTTTTTAAAGATTTAGTTATTTATGCAAGAGCTGGGTTACAGGCCAGAGTGTGGGAGGGTAAGAGGATTCACCAGAGACAGAGTGGGGAGCAGAACAGGCAGATGGCCCGAAAGCATTGCTGAGAGGAGCAGCCAGTGAGACAGAAGAGGTCTGCGCACCATGTGGGTATCTCCCTGGGATACTGAACCTGCTGGGAATCGAACCCGTGCTGCAGAGGCTGTGGACAGCTCTGCAGCGCTCAACCGCTGCGCCAGCGAGGAGGCCCATCACCACTATCAATTTTATCTTCATCGTCCCCAAAAGAGACCCCATCCATACCCATTAGTAGCTACTCCCCCTCACTCCCGGTTTCACCCCCAAACCTGTGGCATCCACCAGTCCCTTGTATTTTGAATAAAATGGCAGCTGAGGTTTTTTTTCCTCTTCCTTCCTCAGCCCTGGGGCTAATCTGCTGTACTGAAGTACTAATGGATATTGGCAATAACCTGAGAGGAAATTGTCCAGTAACTGGTACCAGAAAGTGAACTTACTGTGGATGGTTTCACTCCATGTTTATGAGCATGTTTATTTTTTCCTGTCCCCTGGTTATGGGGCAGAGTAACAGGAATTAATGGGCTAATTATGATGTTACTCATGGGCTTCAGTTCTCGTCCGTGTTCAGCCTGGCACGCTTGTGAGAAATTTATCAGAGATGATTTACAGCTTCACAGCTCCTATTTTTTTTTTCAAAACCAATCTTTTTTTATAGAAGGATATTACTGGTGCATGTTCTAATCTTCTGTGGGGTTCTGCCGTGGCCTCTTAGCATATCTGGTGATGTTTAAGAACAAACACGAAACAGAAGACATGTACCGGGGCCTGATACCCAGGGATTCTGCTCTTGTTCTGCACCTGTCATCCATGAAAAGCATGGTTTGGGCTCAATAGGTTTGCTTATGAAAGGCCTGGGGTCTCTCGCTGCAGAAATCAATAGCACGTGGAGCCGGTGGGACTCGGGTAGACACAGGACTGCTTTTGGGGTTGATTACAATGTTCTGAAAGGAGACAGCGGCATCCGGCATACGTAGAGGCTATGGCTGCGGATGGGGTGCAGCCCACCCTTGATAGCCGTGAATGAAAGGTGGGGGGGCATGTGGTGAGCTTTGAATTGCATTTAAGAGGAAAATTGAGCTCATGGTGACTCAGCATTTCATTTTTGTATCAATTCCCCTCTAATATGTACTGGGGTTCCCCCTGGGAGACATCCCTGCCATGGATTTCCACAGCGTCGTGTTTCTTGGTGGGGATGTCACACATGTCCTGCAGGGTGCGGACACCCTGTATGAGCCCCAGCCCGGGGCCTTTGTGTGCAGAGTCCCTGGTGCCTCTCCCAGCTTCTGACCTCACGGGGCGCTCGCGCTCTCGCAGTCGGAGACCAGCGCTTTTACCCGGGGGCAGAGAGCCATGACCTGCTTCTGTGGACAGCACATCTGTTTTGATTTTTCCCTGGTATTTTTTAAGTAAGAAGAAATGTGTGCAGGTTAAAGGGCCTATGGGGAGGAGGCTGCAGATAAACACTGTCCAATGTGAAACTCTTCCATATGGGGAATGCGAGGACGTTTGCAGCCGGGCCTGACGTTGGTGCTGGCCGAGCCCCTTGTTATTACCTGGGCCTTCGTGATAATGAGGACCCCCGTTTGGTGAGTGGAGGAGCCTTTGATTTGAAAATTACAAGAGAGCGTTTTAGCATCAGTGGGGAGGATCTCAGTCATTTGAGAGGACAGTGAACGCAGAGGCACCTGTGACATCTGATGCCCTTGTTTTGGGATTTGTTGTCAGAGGGTGCCCTGGCCTGGACGTCAGGGCGATCTGTGCTTCTCCCTTGGCCTTGCCCTGGGCTTGTCTCACCGGGGGTCACCTGGAACGTGCCACCCCCACCCTGTGTTACCCACATAGACAGCGGGGGTGGAATTCCCAGGCCGCCGTGGACATGAAGGCAGAGCGCTTGTAAATCCCGAAGTTGGCGAAGGATCCTTCACTCGGCCTTTCCTTCGGACCCAGTGTTGCTAAAACTTGCCAGCCGAAGCAATTACTTTGTCAAAGGTCTTGTTATTGCCCCTACCGTGAAATAATAATGTGATCCAGGTGCCGAGGAATGTGGAGAGAAACGAAGACGTGCCCCCATAGCTAGAACATAAATTACAGAACTTAGGAAAGAAAGTTCTTGATTTAGCCTCTGCAGCGGGGATGCTTTCTGTAAATCTTTAGTCTTCGTTATAAGTTTAGAGCTGAATTCTTCTTAATTAAAAGCACTTGGCCAGTAATGATTCATTTAAACTGTAGTTCTGATTCATTACTCTAATTATTGTTACCATGCAGTGCCCTTTGGCCTGGAAGTGAAACCCGTGTCCTCTTGACACCAGAGGTTAACAGAGCAGGAAGCTGGAGCAGCGTGTGTGCCTGCGTGACCAGAATAATTTAGTAATTGTCTAATTACCCGAGGAGGCTGATGCCACTGCTAAAAATAGTATTAAAAAAATTAAATGAAAGTCATTTTCTGGCTTCTCCGGACCCATCTGTTCTCCATTTTGGGCTGCCATGTGTTCCCGCGGCCCCTCTGCTGCGGTAGGATGTGTTTTTAATGGAATGTCGCATCCAGCCAGTCCATAAACCTCTCTGGCTTCCGGGACGCGGCTCCCTGCGGGCGGTGACGCTGCAGGAAGGCCTTTGTCCCAAGCGGGTTTCAAAGCTGGAACTGGTGTTGGTCACCTTGATGCTTGCTTCTCCCTGGAAGTGAAAAAAATTCTCATGTCAAGCAAGGCCTCTCCACCATCACCTTAGGAATAAGAGGATGTTAATGTGTGCATTTGACTGTCACCTTAGGCATAAGGGGTTGTTGACGTGTTCATTCGCGCAGCAGGGACCTAGTACCCGCGGGCACGGTCCCCGGTGCGAGGAGGGCAGCATCTCACAGTCTGTCAGAAGCATCAGGTGAACAGGCTGATTTTAGAGACCGGGGACAGCAACAGAGGGTGATGTGGACATGTGGCTCCCCGGGGTGAGGACAAGCAGGGTAACAAGAATTGGGGGCTCAGAGAGAGTAACAGGAATTTGGGGGCTCAGTCCTCTTTGAGGAGGCAACATTTGAACTGAGAGTTGAACTACGGGATGGAGCGTGTCTTCATTTTCAGGCTTAAGATGCTGCAAGTGCAAAGGCCCTGAGGCAGGACGGAGCTTGGCAGTGGTCAAATCACAGGCCTGGCTAGAGCAGAGTGAGGAGGAAGATGAGCTGGGAGAGGTGGGCAGCAGCTGACCAGCTGGCCCCGTGGCTGTGGAAAGGCATCTGAACATACCTTTCTTCAAAAGAAGGCCAGTGGCTCCTGATGTGCACCATGGATGGGAACGGAGACCCGCCCCCCGTGTGTGGCCATGTTGAGAGGTTCCTGCTGGTCGGTGTGGAGCATGGCTGGACACCCCTCACCCCCTGGCCTGCTCTTCTCATGTACAGGAAACTGAGGCTCCGAAAGCAGACGTGACTTGCTCAAGGTCACACGGCCAGCCCCCCATCCGAGAATAAAGCCCAGATTTCTTACCCTTCAGTACTCTCTCTTCTGTGTTGCTTGAAATCATTTTCCCCATGCTGTGACTGGCCTCGCAGAGGCTCAGCCTGTGTTGAGAGGTGGGGGTTGCTGGGAGGAGGCCTGAGGTCAGGGTTTGTTCCATTGTCCTCACATGCCTCCCTCGCCCTGCCCTGAGGGTTTGTTACTGGTGGCTGTTACCCCCGAGAGCATCAGTTATCCCTGCTGCCTTCTGTTTTGTTTTTGTTTTAAAGTATTTAGTTTTGTGTAGAAGAACTGGGGTGTAGGCCAGAGGTGGGGTGGCGGTGAGAGGATTCACCAGAGACAGAGCAGGGAGCAGAACAGGTAGATCTACTGAAATACACTGCTGAGGGGGGCAGAGGAAGAGACAGGAGAGGTCTGCTCTGCCCTGTGGGTCAGCTCCCTGGCCGGGGATTGAACTCAGGCTTGCGAGGTGGTAGTGCTGAGACTTGATCCCTGTCTGCTGCCTTCTGTGTTAAACCAAGAAGCATACATTTAGAACAGTGCTTTTAGACCGGGGAGAACTTTGGTAACATCTGGAGAATTTTTGGTCTCTTGTTACAACTGGGGGTGCCTCTGGCATCTAATGGGTGGAGACCAGGGATGCTGGTAAATACCCCAGGTGTCCAGGACAGCAGCCCCCCAAAAGAGAATGCTCTGCCCCAACTTCACACCCAGGTGGGGAAGCCCTGACCCTTCACATCCCAGGGTGACATTCAGTGTGGGGCCTCTGACACCACCCAGAGGAAGACAGTCACCTGTTCACAGAGTCCCCCAAGTCCCCCACCTTGTCACGTTTGTGTCTCTGTAGTCAGTTGTGTTTTTAGCCAGGCGTGAAGCTCGCCTCTCTGGCTGCCCTTCTGCTGGTGGCCACATGCCTGTAGCCACACCTGCCCCACCGAGTGTGCTGTTCCTCCCGTGGTCCACATGCTTCCAGGCACTGATCATTTCCTCTTGACTTCTCCTTCCCGCAGCCGCAGGAACCCCCTGCCCAGAAGGGCCCCACGCTCACCACCAAAGTCCGGCGGACCATGAGCAGCCGCGTGCACGAGGCGGTGAAGGCCATCGCGCTCTGCCACAACGTCACCCCTGTGTACGAGTCCAACGGTGTGACCGACCAGGCGGAGGCCGAGAAGCAGTACGAGGACTCCTGCCGCGTGTACCAGGCGTCCAGCCCCGACGAGGTGAGCCCCACCCCTGGCGCCCATAGCAGATGTACCCCTGCGCTGGCGGGACTGTGCACAGCGCAGTGGTCAAGGTCAGTGCTGGGGCCTGGTGTTCCCCGGCAAGGAGCGGTGTTGAACTTGAGACACTTCTGAATCAGGGAAGAGTAAGAGAACTTGTTAGTAATTCTGAAGGCTGATGCCCCCGGGGCACTTTCCTTTTAAACCACATCTCTCCCCTCCCCCTCCTTAGCAGCAGTTAAGACAGAATCCACATACTGTACAGTCTGCCCATTTCCGATACTCGACTAGTGGATTTATTTAATGTACTTGGAGATTATGCAACCATTACATGATCAATCTTGGGATGTTTTAATGACCCTAAAAAGGATTCCATGTCCATGTTCCCTGAGATACCCCCCACACATCAGCCCTGTCAGTCCACTGTCTCTCTAGATAGTAGATTGGCCTGTTCTGGACACTTCTGAGGAATGGAAACGCACAGTCTGTGGCCTTCTCTGCCTGGCCGCTTTCACTTGGCAGACACTTAGGAGATGGATTATGGATCAGTGTCTCGTTCCTCTGATGCATGAATGCTGGGACATTGGTATCGATCAGCCCATGGGCCTTGGGGTTATTTCTGGTTTTGTGGTTTTGCTATTGTGGCTAATGCTGCTCTGGACATAGTTTTGCTCAGAGGACACAGACTTTCGTCCTGGTGGGGCTGCTGGGTGGTCCGAAACTGCGTGGGGGAGTTGCCAGACCGTCCTCTCAAGGGGCTGCACCGGTGTCCGTTGCCAGTGGTACTGCAGGAGGGCAGGGTCTTTGCCAACCTGTCATGGGTAGGGGCATCACGAGCCATCCCAGCATGTGCCATGTGGGTTCTCACTGTGGTCTGCCTTCTAGGTAGTGCTCAAATCCTGTTCTCACAAAACGTGGAAATTTTAATCTATAGGTAGGACTTTTGTCTCTTCACTCAATATTTTGTGATGCTTCTTTCCCAACTTTCTTGAACATTATTTTAAAAAGTGACAGAACTGCAGTAAGTGCGCGTACCTGGAGGTGTTGAACTGTTCTTGTGTTATTGGAATTTGGGTAATGTCTGATTTTTAGACATTTATGAACATTTGCAGCGACCATGTGCCTGGGTCATTAATTCGGCAGGTGTTTTGAGCGGACTCAGCACCGCGGAGTCCATGTTAGGCAAGATGGCAGCCACCTCGGGGAGGCTGTGGGGGGGGCATGGTTGCGTGGAGGAGCGGTTGTAAGGCTTTAAGGCTAGTGACATCAGTGGCCAGAGGGTCTCCTGGGTGTTGTTTTTCTTTTAAACAATTTTACTCTTTCACCAGTGGACTCCACATTATTTTTTCAGTTCATTTTAAGGAAGGGTTACTTCTCTGCACATATGAAGTATTTCAAAGATCCTTCCAGACTCACCTGACAATGTCCATAGACCAGTGGCTAAGGGCTTGGGGGGAGGGGCTAGCAAAGTGAGGCTCTTTGCCCAAGTTCAGAAATGAAGTTTCAGAAGGGGCCTCTCTTCCCTGGGCCAGTCACCACCTCCTCCTTTTTATTTTTCAGGCGAGGGACTGCATCTGGGGAGGCGCTCTCGGGGCTGTGCCATGTTCTGGAACAGCTCTAGCACAGAAGCCCACCTCACCCACAACCATGGACATGTGCTCTTGGCTTTTCAGGGATGAAAATGGGGTGACCCCGGGCCGAATTGTGAGGTGGGAGCTGTGTGCAGAGAGGGGGTAGGCACGGACGGTCCTGCTGGTCTGTGCAGACTTGAGCCCGAGGAGCTGCAGCCTTTTCTGGCTTTTTGCCATTTCTTCGCCAGGGTTAGTCTGGTCTTGCTCTCCCGGTGGGAACGGGAGGAGCTCGTCCCTGGCTGGCAGTGGTGAGAGAGGACCACGTTCTGGGCACTTAGGGACTGGGAACCAGCAGCTCTGGCAGTTTGGCGGATTTGCACATGTGTCCGATGCAGGCATGCGATGGGCATGTTGCCCCTGAGCTCCTTCTGCTGCGTGCACAGGGGTCACGCGCCTTCCCACGCTCTGCTCCCACCAGGCTGTGATGCATTTGTCTTAGGGCTGCACAGAGGCTTTCCAGGAGCGTAAACCTCTCTCGGACTGCTTTGTGCTGCTCGGTTCCTTTTTTCTCAGAGTAGCCCTTGATTGCTTCTGTCCATTAACTGTACTAGGATTCAGATATGGCCTTTTTTTTTTTTTTTAAGATTCTGAGTAACAGTAAAAATAAAAGAGGCATTTTCTTTGGCCTTCGTTGTCTTTGCAGAGGTTCATGTTACCTTACTGGCATCTATATTCCCCCACATCTTTTTTATTATTATTATTTAAAGATCTATTTATTTATGAATACCAGATCTGGGGCACAGGCCAGAGGTGGTGGGGGGTGAGAGAGACAGCGTGGGGAACAGAACAGGCAGATTGACTGAAATACACTGCTGAGGGGAGCAGCGGGCGAGTCAGGAGAGGTCTGCTGCGCCACGTGGGTTGCTCCCTGGCTGGGGAATGAACTCTTGTGCTGCAGAGGCTGCAGATAGCTTCATAGGTTGCGTGTTAACCCCTTGCGCCACCAGGGAGACCCATCTTTATTATTTTTGACTGCCCACTTGCTTCATGTTTATGGTAGAATTCATGAAAATAGAGATAGAAAAGAAAAAAGTAAACCACAATCGATTCACTAACGTAACTGGGTGTTACCACTATTAATATTTTACTGGCCAGCTTTCTTAGCTCTTGCAAAAGATGTCCATGCTGCAGGATACTGATCTAGTGATGGAAAGAGCCCTGGTGACAGAAAGCAGGCTAATTCGGGGTCCAGGGATCCTTTCAGAAAGCCATGCTGCCTCTGCATCCCCACTGGCTCCCACGCGGACATGGCTGGGCCTGGAATCCTACCTGTGAGGTTTTATGTCAGGTGTTGCTGCCGTGAGCCAGGCGGTCCTGGACACTCTTGGACGCTGTGTTCCGCTTCCCCTCCAGGGCACTGCCTGTGTTCAGGGGCGTCTGTAACAGAAAGCAGGGTCTTCTCAATTTGCTGCCTCACGGGCCTTCTGTGCCGGGAGCTCTGAAATTTCGCTCTTCAAGTGTGTGTGGGTTTCAGGGCCCCTCCCTGAGTGTGGAGGGGGTGCTGTGCTGTCTTCTCCTGTCCCGGTGAGTGTCAGTGACTCAATTTCCAGCGACTGCTTAGATCCAGCCCAGAGAATTTCTCTCCCAAGAGGACACCGTCAGTGGTCACCTGCACTGGGCCGTATGGCAAGTGAGGTCCTTCGGTGGTGACCTCCCTGCACAGCTGACTGCCTTGCTGATATCTTTCTGCTTGTTCTTCGCCTCCTTGTCTCCATTCCTGTCTCGAACACAGCTGTGTGCCCCCCTCCTTCCACCCCTATCCAGGGTTGCCCCATTTTCATCCCTGAAAAACCCGGGTTAGATGTCGGTGGGTGTCTAGGTGGGATGAAAGAGCCCCTCAGGGCTCATAACTGTGGGAATCAGCACCCCAGACCTGTAAGCTTTGGCCAGAATTCTCAGCCTCTGCAGGACTGGTCTTTGGGGCAGGGTGATTCATGTTGGGGGGTTGTTCTGTGCACTGTGGGATGTTCAGTAGCACCCCTTGACTCTACCCACTCAATGCCACCTGCACTCGGCTCTCCATTGTGACAACTGAAAATGTCCCCAGACATGGCCCTGTGTCCCTGGGAGGGTGAGGCTGCCTACGGGGTGCTGTTGCAGACATTTGTGTTCCTGCAGGTGACACCCCCCAGCCTCTGGCTCCCCCTTCCCAACATCTGCAGTTTGGGGTGGATACTTCTGGGGTGATCCGTGGTGTGGGGTTGCTCTGGATCTTGGCGGTCCTCTCTGCCATGGCTCAGGCTTGGGCTGGGAGGAGAAGGCAGCCTGCTTCTTGTAGGGTCAGCTGTGAGAGCAGGAGTCCCTGCAGCCCCAAGAGGGGATGTCCTAGGTCCGGCCCGGGTCACGTGGTGCTCGAGCTTCACCTGTCTGTGCTCCCCCCTCACCTCTGTGATTTTTGCTCGACCTGTGAACTGGGTTCATGACTGTGTATCTGACCTCCCACCCTGTGTTGCATTTAGGTGGCCCTGGTACAGTGGACCGAAAGCGTGGGCCTGACCCTGGTGGGCCGAGACCAGTCTTCCATGCAGCTGAGGACCCCTGGCGACCAGATCCTGAACTTCACCATCTTACAGATCTTCCCTTTCACCTACGAAAGCAAGCGCATGGGCATCATCGTGAGGGTGAGCTGTTTCCCGTGTGTGATTCAACTCGGCCAGCCGTGCCCTCCCCGAGGATGCTGTGTCCCGGGCTTGACATTCCTTCTTACCCTGTCCCACCCTCTTTATTATGGCGTCTGTCCTCCAAGCAAGGGCGTATAGTTCCAAGCAGAAAGAAGATTGGCTCATCAGCTGCACAGAACTTGCTTAGCTGGTCAGCTCCTAGCTGAGTGGAGGGTCTAGAGTGAGGGTCTAGTGAACGAAGATGGGGCATTTCCTGGCAATAATACATTTCTCACTGCATTTTCTTGCTAAATTGACTGTACTTTTATGGTGGGGTAAGTCACAGGATGTAAATGAACCACATCTAAGTCTTTCTTCCAGTGACATGTTAGTACAGTCACGATGCTATGCTGTCAAGTCTCAAAACCTTCTAGTCCCTCAAAGGAAACCTTGTACACTCTATAGTCACTAACCCCTTCCTTCCCCTGGGTCGCTCTGTGGATTGACCCATCCTGGGAAACTTGCACAGATGGCATCATGCACCATTGCTCTTTTTTATTTTTTTGAAATTTATTTATTTATTTTTAAAGATTTATTTATTTATACAAGCATTGGGTACAGTTAGAAGCGCGGGAGGGTGAGAGAATTCACCAGAGCCAGAGCGGGGGACAGAACAGGCAGACTGACAGAGTACACTGCTGAGGGGAGCAGCGGGCGGCAGGAGAGGCCTGCGCACCATGTGGGACCCTCACCTGGTGGCCGGGGATCGAACCGGAGCTGCAGAGGCAGCGCTCAACCGCTGCACCACTGGGGAGGCCCATCCGTTGCTCTTTTTTATCTGGCTCTTTGCATTATGTTTTCAAGGTTCATTCACATTGTAGCTTGTCTCAGGCTGCGTTCCTTTTTATGGCCGAATACTGTTCCATAGCCCTCATCCATAAATGGACATTTGGGTTGTTTCCGTCTCTCAGTTACTGTGAATAGTGCTGCTGTGAACTATTTGTATGTGGAGATTTGAGTACCCGCTTTCAGTTCTTTTACATATAAACCTAGGAGTGGACTTGCTGGGCACTTACCCATTTGCTGGGTAATTCTGTCCTTCAACTTGACGAGGAACTTCCAAATTGCTTTCTGCAAGGATGCACAATTTTCCCTTCCCACCAGCAATGTATAAAGGTTCCCACTTTTCCCATCCCTCACCAGTTCTTTTCCGTTTTCTAGAAATTGTGGTCTTCCCAGTGGTTGTGAGGTGGGGTCTTAGTGTGACTTGGGTTTGAGCTCCCTCTCGGTGGCCAGGCTGTGGCGGCGGGGCCAGGCCTCTCCCTAGGCTCTCGGGCAGCTCCCTGTGATTGACATCAGCCTCGTCTGTGCACATGTGTCTGTCTGTCTGGTTGTGGGCTGGACTCCTCTTTAACTTGACCGGAGAGTGCCAGTTTTATCTTGGTCCCACGGTTTTCCCACATCCTCACCAATATTTAAGAGTGTCAGACTTACTAAATTTTGCCAGTCTGGAGTCTGGATTAGTATCTGCCTTTCCTGTTGGCTCTTTCACTCCCAGAGATCTGACCTGCCCCTGTGCTGACACCCCTCTTTGTTCAACTCTAGCTGATCACCAGAATTTTCAGGGTGCTTGGAAAATGCAGATTACTAGCCCCAACCCAGCCCTGTTGGGCAGTGGGATGGGTCCCCTGTCTTTTAAAGGTTCTTTCCAATGTTTGGTTTGGCTGGAGGAAATGCTGCTTCAGATTATGAGAATCTTTGGAAATGGTTTTGCTTTTTGTCTTTGTTTTTTTAAAAGCAAATGAGCATCCCCTCCACCCTGATCTCCCCAAGGGTGTCATGCCTTAGAGATCAAAGAGTAGTAGATTCTGGTCTAGTAAATTGGTAATGGTGGTAACAGTAGTGTTAGTACTTAGAGGAGTAGTTAATGGTGTTACTAGCAGCAGCAGTGAGGACAGTACCCATGACGGTGGGTAACATTTAACTAGTTGCTGTGTGTTCTAAATAACTTGCATAAATTGACTCATTTAATTCTCACCATAAGCCACTGAGGTAGGTACCATGATAATTAGCACTTGACAGAGAAGAAAATTGAGGGATAGAGGCTAAGAAATCTCCCCTAGTTCACACAGGTAGAAAATGGGGAGCTAGGATTCCCTTCCAGGCTGTCTGGCTCCCAAATTCACATTCTTTACTCTAGGACCTGGGTGCTGGGGTGTTCTGAGATGGCTGTCTTGAATGCCATATATAGCACCCTAGCAATGTTGGGGTGCTAACAATGTGTTGCCACGTAGCAGACTTCCCCACACTTAGTGGCTCACAACACTAATAGCTGCGTGGGCAGGAGGCTAGGTGTGGCCGAGTGAGGCCCTGGGCGCCCCCAGGCTGTGGTCATCCAAGGTTCAGCTGCGGAGGGTCCATTTCCAGACAGGTCAGTGTTGTTGGCAGGACCCACGCCTTGTGGTTGTTGGAAGGGCCTCAGTTCTCAGCTGGCTGCTGGCCGGAGCCCCTCGGTCATGGCCACGCAGGCCCCTGCTGACGTGGGGTCAGCTCCCACGTCACTGGCTTCCTCGGAGGGAGCAAGACGGGCATCTTTGGCAGCCCAGTGCAGAACGACCTCCCTCACTTTTGTCTGACTTACTAGAAGCGAGTCCTGGTCCAGCCCCTATTCAGTGGCGAGGGTCCCACAGGACATGAGTAGCAGGAGCCGGTGCGGGGCACCACTGGCACCATCCACAAGAAGCTGCCTTCTCCCCTGTCCTGGGCAGAGCCAGAAAGAGCTCCCAGAGCTGGTTCTGATGGGCCGGGCGTGAGCTTACTCTGGCAGTGTCACACGTCGGGATTGTTCTGTGCTGATGCCAGGAGGTGCTTGCAGACACGACAGGACGGTGGCCCCGGCAGCCTCAGGGCAGGAGCTCTCTCCCCCACACGGCTGCTGCCCTTCCCCGCAGGCTGCGCCGGGCCTGGCCCTGGCTTGGAGACCGTATCGTGAGTACACATCTGATGTCAGGAACATCCGTGGCCTGGAAGCCACAGCGAGAATCCTGTGGGTGGTTGTTTCCTGGAGAATGAGAGTCCTTATCTCCTAGGGAATGACTGTGATTTTGTGCCAGCCTTGATATTTTTTCAACTCTAGGGCCATGGCTCTGCTGAAGTCACTGCAGGTTGAATCATCACCACACATTCCGTGGTCTCCCGTCCCGTCAGTGACCCGAGGCCTCGGCTCCCATTAGCGGTGAAGGACTGTCCTTCCCACCCTCGCCCCGAGCCCACAGTGAGGACGGGGCCTGTGCCAGGAGGCCTGGGGGCTGGAGGGTGGGCAGGTCGCTCAGTGTTTCAAACCGGACACCCCTTCCCGGGTTGTAGCGACAAGTCACTGTTCACAGAAGATGGTCAGACCAGATGACGATGTCAGGACAGGCCCGAGTGTCCCCTCTGTTTTCACCTCTCACAGTCAGCCCCCTTCCCTTTTCTGAGGATGGCCCTTCAGTTCTTTGCTAAGCCTGTGTGAGTGTAAATGTCCACATACATTTTTATTGGCATTGAGCTCCATTCCCAGCTTCTTTAGCTCCCCTGCCCGCCACTGGGCTGGAGACGGGGTGTCCTCCTGCTGTCAAAGTGTGATTTTTATGATCTGAATGTATGCGTGGTGGTTTGTTGACAAACCCCATTAATTAAATATTCTTCTGGGGGTACTTAGGTGGTTTTTCATTTCTTGCCTCTCAAAATAAATCCGTGGGCATCCGTCTCGGCCAGGCTGTCGGGTGGAGGCCCGTTGTTTCAGTAACTTGTTTCCTGGTTGGTCTGCCTCTTGAGTTTTGGTGTGGACAGGTGGAGGTGGGCCTCCAGGGCCCTGGGCTCCTGTGCCCCCTGGCTCTGAGGTCCCCCCAGCTCTCCCAGGGGACAATGAAGATGCCTGGGGACATTCTGGGGTGTGTGCTGCTGGCCCCTGCGGGTGGAGACCAGGCCCTTGGCCTAGCAGAGAACCCTTAGCCCCAAAGTCTGTTGTGTCGGGTCTGAAAGCTTCTCTCCTCGTGTGTTCCTACATGCTCACTGTTATTTGAGAATAGCCATCCAGTTTCCAGGCGTACGGCCATCCCTCCACTGGGCTTGCGGACCGGTGACGTGACGGCTTGCTCTTGCCTGTTTCTGCAGCCCTTGTAAACACGTGTGACGTGTACCCTCGCGCGGTGCTGGGCGGCGACTCCCACTCACAGAGCAAGGTCTGGTCTTGGCGTGCACCTGTCTAAGGAGCAGCAGGCTGGCGAGGCCACTCTGGTGTGGCAGTGGGCTGGTCTGTGAGGAGGCCCTGGGACGTCTGGCTGGGTTGTGTGCCCCACGTTGCACGGCCCCACCTACCCTTCCCACGTGCGGAGCTGAAGGGGGGTAGCTGGTGTAGATCACCCGCTTGTCGTTGTTTGAATAAAAGAGGCCTTTGAACAGGTGCCAGAACGAGACCACAGTGGAAAAAGATGAGGCCGCAAACGATGCCACGGGCCGGCCCTCTGTGCGCTCCACGGTGCAATCTCACCATCACATGGGAACGAAGTAACCTTGTGATGAACTTGGGGGAGGAAATGACTAATGGGAGGAGACAGTTGATGCTGTATTTATATTGGACACGATGTCCAAGCCCCCATGAGCCCCTGGAGCAGGAGAGGAAGCTGGGAGGGGGTGTTGTTTCCTAAGCGGTGCTTTGGCGCAGGGGAGAGGAAAGAAGAAAGCTCGGGTGCTCCAGCAGCCCCCACCGCTGTGTTTGGCCCCAGTGTAGACCTCAGTGGGCAGCTGGGGGGTGAGGAGTCGACGTGCCGCCCGGTGCTCTGCAGACGCAGCTGACCGGAGGTGGCCGGCGGGCGTCTGTGAGTGGGCACACCCTTCTACGAGGCTGGCAGCAAAGGCAGGGCGTGCGAGTGTTGTTTTAAAAGAGGGAGCTATTACTGATTGGGCTTTGGTTATGAAGAGTGGGGTTTACTCTGGGCTCCTGGGGTAGTGACGGTAGCCACGAGGTAGCGATGGCTCCTGCCTCCCCGTGACAGGGCTCATGGGGGAAGGAGTTATGGGGGAGAAGCAGCCACTGACTCTCCATCCTCAAAGCCGGTCCCTCAGCCTCGGACACTTGGCTGCTGGATTCCTCTTGGCTGTGGGGTCATTCTGCGCATTGTGGGGTATCTGCCTGCACCCCTGGCCTCTATCCACTAGGTGCTAGGAGCCCCCCAGTTGTGGCACCAACACTTTGCCACACGCCCCTGGGGGGCAGAGCCCCTGGAGCAGGCCTTGCTCTCACCAGCGTGACGGGGCTCCCGAGAGCATGGTGGATGACCCCCAGCCCTTCCTTTGTGCCTTGAGCTGCCTGCCTGCTGTGGTTGGTCTCCTTGAAGGCCCACAGCCTACGCAGGAGAGCCATCAGCATCCCCGTTTCACAGGCGAGGAAACAGTGTTAGAGAAAAGAAGCCACTTGTCCAAACACACACAGGCGGGAGCAGGTGCCCCAGTCCTTCACCCACACCAGGTGACCTGCTGAGCTGGGGGTCAGGTCTCTAGCTGAGTCCTTGGGTGGACACAGGGTCTGGGGTCATCCCGATCAGTGGCTCTCAACCGAGGCAGTGTGCTCCCCAGGGGCCCGTGTTAGCGTTGAGACATTTTGGTGGTTCCCGGGTGGGGGGCCGCTGGCATCTGGCGGGGAGGAGCCACAAAGGTCTTGCTGTACATGCGCCACCCCCATGGCGGGCAGTTCTGGTGCCAAGGTGAAGAACCCCTGTTGCATGCCTGTCAGGTGGCTAAGATTTGCTGTTTCCGTTAGGCCCCCGTGTTTATACAAAATGAGCTTGTACGCGGGTCCATTCCTCGCGGAGCGGCAGTCGCGTTAGGGACAGAGCTCCTAAATCCTTTTGATCTTGCGTTCATCGTTTCATAGTTTTCCAGATGCTTTGAGTTTTCTCTTATTTTCTGTGGCCCTTGCCCCAAAGTGCACATCCCTCCCCCCTGCTTTTTATCTTTGGCCAAGTGAACAAACATTGGCATCTGCTGAGTTCACTTTTGACACCCTCTGCCCCATGGAAAGTGGGCACCGGGCCTTAAAGCTGGTGTTCCTGCCCCTCCCACTCCCCCAGGATGAAACCACTGGAGAAATCACCTTTTACATGAAGGGCGCAGATGTGGTCATGGCTGGCATCGTGCAATACAATGACTGGCTGGAGGAGGAGGTAAGCGTGATTGGGGGTGAAGTCTGGGCCTTGGATGTATGTTCTGGGGGCTGCCTCTCTCTCTCGGTAAATTCCTTATTGGTAACCGCTCACCCCAAAACTTAGTGATGTAGAACAACACAATTTATTTCTCAGCTTAGCTGGGCCCAGCCTTGGCCGGGGAATTGGCAAGGGCTGTGGTCTGGTCTGAAGGCTCAGCTGGGGCAGGACCCACCTCCACACTCACTCAGGAGTTGTGGGTGGATTCAGCTTCTCGTCAGCTCCCGGCTGGAGGCTGCCCGGTGTGCTCACCCTGTGGGTGTCTCATCAGCAGCTTACAGGGTGGTGCTGGCTTGTGAGGGAGCAGCTGGGGGAGCAGAAAGAGTTCCTGACTCATCAGTGACCTTCCCTCACTCCTGACATTCTGCTCCTTGGGAACAAGTCGCTAGATCCCCTGCATGCTTGAGGGGGTGACACCAGGTGTGGGCACCAGGAAAGGGGGGCTCCCAGGGGCCACGTGAGAGCCTGCCCATCCTATCCCTGGTGGCCCAAGGAGTCAGCTGCAGTGGGGAGGAAGGAATTCTCAAGTTTTTCAGGCCATTTTGTTTTGTCTCTTAACTTGGGTGGGATTCACATTGTCCACCCAGTGATATATTTCCAGTTAGATGCTGTGAACCCAGATGCCACAGGGGCTGGCAGGAAACCTGGGCACATGGCAGGTAGCGGGACTGTCTCTGCTGTTAACTGGGAGAACATGGAAACAGCAGCTTGCCCACTATCAGTGGCTGGTGTACTCAGAGGCTTGGTTTTCTTAGTGTGCAGAAATCCAGGCCTGTACTCTCACCACGTTGACATAAGTTGTGGGGTGCACATGAACCAGCCAGGGAAGCCCACATATGGGTGGTGGTGGCCCTCAGGCTGCCCTGGGGCTGCCTCCCCTTTGAGGTTTACTCGAGGAATGAGGTGCTCTGGCCAGCTGGCTGCCACATGCTCTCAGAGGGCTTAGTCCTCAGCGGAGGGCTCTGCTGACTGTGGTTGCTCTGCAGTGTGGGAACATGGCCCGGGAAGGACTGCGGGTGCTGGTAGTGGCGAAGAAGTCCCTGGCCGAGGAGCAGTATCAGGACTTTGAGGTATGTGGTCTGGGGACTCCACCATCCTTCTCTTCAGCCTGGCCCACCTCCCTGGTCCAGCCTTCCCTGCCTCCACCTCCTTATGCTCCTCCAGCTCTGCTGATGTCATTGCTGAGCTCACCACCTTCTGTTTGGCCGCAGGGCCTTTGCACTTGCTTTCTTTTCTGCCTGGCTTGCTCCTGCCTCCCAGGGCTCCCCAACTACCCCCTCGCTTTTTTTGGGTTTCAACTCCAAAGCCATCACCTCTGAGACGTCTTCCTGAACCCCTCGCTCCCCCGTTTAAGGCAGCCCCAGCTCATCACTCTCCCTCCAACACCCTATTTAACTTTTTTTTTAATTGCACTATAATGACCTTGTTTCTATGTTTTTTTAATGAAACAGCTTTTAAAAACTACATCTTGTCTCCTTTCTAGAATAAAACCTCTTGAAGGCAGAGACTTATTAGACTGGTTTGCTCTGTGTCCCTGGCACTGGCACATAATTTACCTTCTGGAAAGTTTATAATGAACCACCCTGTTGGAGCCCTCATTTTTTTAAGCTGTAAATAATGTTGGCATTGGACAAGCTCACTGACTTTCACAGCCAAGCGTTCAGCTAAAAATGCCTGGTTGACTGTCATCTTGTCCCATAGACTGTATGGCCCTCAAGGGCAGGGCCTTGTGTTCCCAGCCCTGCATGAAACTCAGTGCACGCATGAACACATGTACACAGACACACATGTGTACAAAGCATGCACAGGTGTACACACACCTCTCCTGGGCCTGGCCTGGCTCCACATGCTGGGATCTCTGGTCGTGTTTCAGTTCTTTGTGAGTTTCATTGAGCAGGATCCTGTCCCTGACATAGTCCATCTTCCTTTGAGTTGTAAAGGCCTGTGCTTTGAGGCCAGACCCCTAGGGGGTTTTGATTTTCTCCCAGGTCTTTGTTAACACTGTGAAGAGGGAGTTAAACCGAAGGGTGGGTATCTTTGGAAGTGGGGCTTTGTCTTCAGAAAACCTGGTGATGAAGACCTCTTGATTATGAAGTGCGTGCGAACCCCCTGTGTTTTAAGGTCTTGGGTTGTGTTCATCTTAGCTGCATCCAGTGTGGCGGGGGCTGTTAGTGCTGCTTCATGGGTGAAAACAGTCAGGCTCGGAGAAGTTGTGACTTTCCAGAAGTCACACAGCAGGTGAACGTACAGGGCGGACTTTAGGCATGTCCCCTGCATGGCCCACCCTGTGCTTGGTGCCCCTCGGTCACCCGTGATTGTTCCCCGGTGTGTCTCAGGCCCGTTACGTCCAGGCCAAGCTGAGCGTGCATGACCGCTCCCTCAAAGTGGCCACGGTGATTGAGAGCCTGGAGATGGAGATGGAGCTGCTGTGCCTGACTGGGGTGGAGGACCAGCTGCAGGCCGACGTGAGGCCCACGCTGGAGACCCTGAGGAATGCGGGCATCAAGGTAGGGCCGGCCTGCTGGGACCGGGGCTGAAATAACCTGCCATGTGGAAATGAATTCCAGACTTACAACAGCTAGTGGAGTCTGAAAATTAATGGGGGTGCTCGTAGTGACAAATCAGTAGGGATATTGGCAGTAGTGAGGGCGGGGCGCCTGGACAGCGAGGGGCGCTCGCACCCGCCCTGGTGGCTGGTCTGGAAGGCAGCACGTGTTAGCTGTCCCTGCCTGGCCCGCGGGGCGGGGGCCCGGGAGGCAGAAGCGCCGTCTCCTCGGGCCTCAGTGCCGTGTTCCGCAGGCAGGCATGTCTCTTGTGTTCTTGTTGAGCGACTGGCTGGCCTTCTGTCCGCTTGTCCTCCCAAATTGCCTTCTTTGCATTTTTTTAAAGTTTGGGACCAAAAAGTACTTCCCCAGGAGTGTGACCTGGAGAGACCAGCAGAGGGCGTCTGCGAGCGGGTTCAGGGAGCTGGGCGCAGGGTGCACAGGGTTTGCACCTCCACCAGGGAGCCTTCTGGAGCACTGGACGTGTCAGGGCTGCGGTGTCATGTCCTGGGCTCTGCCCTCCCCAGCAAGTTGCCACACCTTCGTCCTGACCCACTCCCCACCGGGGTCCAAATCGCACCCCTGTGGTTGCCACCAGGGCCCCTGGCCAGCGATGGGGCGTCCCAAGGCTTCCGCTTCCTGCCATGTGAAGTCTCTGTGAAGGGGCCTCGTGAACGTGGCCCTCAGGTGGTCCAGCTGAGATTTCCTTTGAGGTTTTCAACAACCCCCTCCCGGGAGCAAAGAGTACAAAGGGTTAATGGGTAAAAGTGTCTGAGCGGGAGGTTGTAGCGGACTCTGCAGACCTGGTTCGAGCCTGGGTGGAGCAGGAGCTCGCTGTGTGGCTTTGGGCAAGTCACCTCCCCTCTTTGAGCTCACAGCAGCGAAAGGCAGAGAGGCCTTTGGGGAGTGTGGAAGAGCCAGCGAGCGGACAGTCCATGCTTGCTAGTTGGGGCTCACCCCCAGCAAGTCGTGGGTAGAGAGACCCATGAGTGACATGACAAGTCAGTATTTCCTGTCCGACACGAAGGCGACCCCTCGTGCATAGGCCTTTGCCCTCTGTGAGATTATTTATGGCTGTAAGAAAAATCCCCAGAAGGGGGATTAGGACACTCAGGACGAGCTTCATGATGTCTGAAGGCATCACGTCAGCTTCTGCTGCTGCTGGTGGAGGCTCAGGGTCCCGACACCCTTGAATCAGGGTGTTTCCTGTGCTGTGTCGGGGACACCATGAGCCCCCAAGAGGTAATGTAACGTATCAAGTTAGCTCAGTGCTCTTGGAAACTCTGCCGATGCAGGCAAGGCGGCCTCAGTGCCATCAAAGGTGCCCTTTCATATCTTAACTTCAGGTTTGGATGCTGACGGGGGACAAGCTGGAGACAGCCACGTGCACAGCCAAGAATGCACATCTGGTGACCAGGAACCAGGACATCCACATCTTCCGGCTGGTAAAGCGTCCTCTGCATCGGGCCACATGGTGGGGGCGCTGAGGTTCACCCACCACCTCGCCACCTGGGGTTGGGCCCCTAAGGGGACGGGGGCCCCTTCAAGAAGCTGGTGAAATCGGGCACATGGGCATGAAGGGTGCACAGGCGTCCGTGCACCTGGAAGGCGGGGTTGTCAGGTTTCGCGGACCCTTGCACGCCAGGCCCTTGGATAAGAAGTCAGCTCCTGATCACAGCCAGGGGCCGGTCTGCCCCCACCCCCAAGGGAAGTCTTGAGGAGTGCTTTGAAGGAGGTTGTTAGTTGGGCAAATGAGAAGTTTCCTGCCCAAGTGACAGGTACTTGACCAGGACAATTCAGGCTGGAGCAGCTGCTGGGACGCTGGGAGCCAGCAGGCCCGTCGTGGTTCACAGAGCTGGGGCTCAAGGGACTGGGAGCCTGCACTCAGAGCCAGGACACCAGACAACTTGGAGGGACCCTGGATATTTTGGGGAGGTCCCCGGAGTTGCCCGTCTGCCCCTTTATGGGGCAGCTGCTGGCCCTGCCGGGCGCCTGGCTCCTGGTGCCTGCCCTGGGTGCCCGTGTGCCTCTCCAGACCAGCTGCCAGGTCCTGCTCTGCCCGGCCTCCTAGGGGTCAAGCAGAGGGGCCTGTTGGCTCTCGTAGCGTCATGTGGAATAAATGGAGCAGTCCATGAATCTGCTGAGCACAGCGCTTGGCACGCCATGAAAGCATTTGTCGCTGTTATTTTTCTTATGTGGGTCACAGTTGCCCTGGGGGGCTGCAGACGGGGCTGGTATACTGGCTCCCCGATTCCCACGCATACATGGCAAGCAGAACTAGGTTTGGCTCTGGGTCTGTGCTGGGAGGAAGGGGCCTCGGCCGGGGCGGTCATTGTCTTCACAGGGGCTGCAGGAAGCTGCTGTTTGACGTTCCGCCCTCTCCAGAGAGCTGCTTCCACTCTCTGTCCCCTTGCAGGTGACCAACCGCGGCGAGGCCCACCTCGAGCTGAACGCCTTCCGCCGGAAACATGACTGCGCCCTGGTCATCTCGGGAGACTCCCTGGAGGTGGGTACTGGGACCCTCCCCACGGCCCCCCAGGAGCGTGCACCTTCCTGAGGTGTCAGGGAGGCCACTTGGGCTGACCCACCATCCCACCCCCAGGTCTGCCTCAAGTACTACGAGTATGAGTTCATGGAGCTGGCCTGCCAGTGCCCGGCCGTGGTCTGCTGCCGCTGTGCCCCCACCCAGAAGGCCCAGATCGTGCGCCTGCTGCAGGAACGCACCGGCAAGCTCACCTGTGCAGTAGGTAGGCAGCGGCCCTGCCGCCCCACCGACCATGCCCCCAGGACACTCGGGCCTGTTCTCCAGATTTCCCTCCATTCGGGTCCTGATACCCCTCCCCTTCCTGTGGGCGTTGGCCCTGCTTTTGTCGTTGTTGTTGTTTTTAATATTTCCCTCTGAGAAAGAGCAGATAAGGGTACCCCAGGCCTCTCCTTCTGCACTTGGGCTTCCTTTGCCAGGGACACGGACGCAGCTGTGCGGAGCGTGAAGGGGCAGGACCTGTGTCTGCTGGTCTTTCACCAGCCAAGTGCTCAGCTCATTGGTGGAATGGGGATAATGCAGTGGTTTCACCCAAGGGTGCTTGGGGGGAATCAGTGGGGGCTGTGCTTATCAAAAGCACTCACCAGGGTGCAGGGGAATTGTTGCTGAGGGTTATCTGGCCCCCCACACCTCTGATGCGGGGCTGGCATGGGGGTGCTCCCTGGAGAGGGGCGGGCAGGGTCCCCGGCCACTGCTCAGGGCCGGGACCCTCCGCCAGTCGCCTGGTCCCTCCCATGCGCAGCTCCTCTGCTGGAAAATAGGGGTGCACCCAGGTTTAAGGGAGCAATTAGAGCAGGGCACAGAGGCAGTCGTATGTGGGGTGATGGTGGGGGTCATGGTGGGGATCCCCTGTGGCAGGCGAGTTTCTGGCTTCTCCAGCTTCCCGGGTTTTCTCTGCTCTGTGGCCCGCAGGTGATGGTGGCAACGATGTCAGCATGATCCAGGAGTCGGACTGCGGCGTGGGCGTCGAGGGCAAGGTGAGCGGCTGCGCGGCGGGGAGGGCCCGCCCGCTCCTTCAGGAACCAGTCAGGGACCACATGTTGTATTTCTCAGCCTGTCTTGGTGTCTCTTTAATCTTCCTTCATCTGGGGCAGGCCCCTCCATCTTCTCTGGAGGTGGGTTGTGTGATGTTGGTGTTTGAAGCGGTGGGGACAGTTGGGGCACGTCCCTGCCATCTGCGGGTCCCGGTGACTTGATTCCGTTCCTGGTTTTTGGCGTGAGTGTGGGCCAGGCACGTGTGTTGTGCTCAGGCACCTTTTAGGAGGAGAGAATTCCATTATGTGGCCCGACTGTAAATTACTTCCATTTCTATAAATGTGCAAAGATGTATGTTCAGGCATTTTCCTTTAATGCTGTCAGTAGCATCAGGTCCCCCCGCCCCCCTTCTGTGTAGCTCTCAGGGGGTCTGACTGTTACAAAATGCCTGTCTTTGAATAATTCTTTGCTTCTGATACCCATTATGGGCTGGGCTTAACCCCCAAGGCTTAATACTTGATCCATTTGACCTCCAAATTATAACTATCTGTGATTGGGGATGTTTTTTATTTAAATAAATTCCTTTTAAAAAATCAAATTAGTCTTGGACCACCAACCGAGAATAGCCTGAAACCAAAGAATCTCTTTATTGAAGTTCTTCAAAGATCTCCTTACAGTGTCTTGCTTTTTCAATTAAAAGAAATGTGCTTGCCTTGACCTCTTGTGCTTTCGACGGTGCCCAATTTCATCGGATTTTAGGAAGGAAAGCAGGCTTCCCTGGCGGCAGACTTCTCCATCACTCAGTTCAAGCATCTTGGCCGGTTGCTCATGGTCCATGGTCGGAACAGCTACAAGCGGTCTGCTGCCCTCAGCCAGTTCGTGATCCATCGGAGCCTGTGTATTAGCACCATGCAGGTGGGTGGGCAGCTGGCACCTTGCAGGTGCACCTGGCCATGTGTTTCTCTTGGAAAAGCCTGAGAATTGGGCTGTGCTTTGGAGCTCCCACGTCTCGCAAGGCCAGCTTAAATCCTTCCTGGCCACTTTCCTGCTGATAACCTTGAATACCCCAGACTCTGCTCTGTCGGGTGACAAAGGCCATCCTTGCGGTGTGCGGTGGATGTGAATGCTAGGAGGTGTCTGTTGAGAGCGCTGGCCACGGGGGGGTGTCGCGTGAATGACCAGCGTTGTCTTAATCAGGGAAGAGTTGTTCGAGTTGGTTTGCCAGAGGGAAAAGTGCAGAGGTAAGTTCCAAAGGAATCCCCTGGCCCTAAGTTTGCACACACGAAGGTGAGCCTGGCTTTTCCTGACTGCTGCCTCTACCACGGCGTCAGGCCGGTGTCTCCTGTGGCAGCGGCGATGACTGAGCCCATGAGGCATACCAAGGGTGAGAACCGTGTGCAGTGTCCCTCAGGGATTAAGTCTGCCCAGCCGTGGGGTCCCCAAAACCTGTATCCTGAATGCGTGTTTGCTCCTTGCGTGTCCTCCATTTGGGGGCCGGGAGTGGGGAAGACGTCTTTCCTCTCTGGCTTCCGCACAAAAGGAGTCTGCAGTGCATGAACTATTGTCCCGCTTCACTTTCACCAGCGCCTTCAAAATCTGTGATCTGGTGCTAGCAATTAAGCGGGGACCAGGAAGGAGGCCGAAGACGGGAAAGAAAACATTTAGGAATGGGAAGCTTTTGAGTGCTCCTCCTCTGGGGGCATGGAGGGGAAATACCTCCACGGAAGTGGTGAGGATGTAGGATGAGAGCTGGCAGCCCCTGCCCCTTCCTGGCAGTACCCTCCGGTGTCTCTGGGACACTGACCACGCAGGCCTCCGTCGTCCCCCTGTGAGATGGGAGGAGACACCCCTTAGATGGAGCTACTTCGAACAAGAGTCCCCATCAGGTCTCAAGGACTGACGGTACCTCAAGAACAGAACAGGATGATGTAGAAACGCCAGGCGGACCTTGGCTTTGTGGGGAGCTTTTTCACCGTGCATGGAAGGCGTCCTGCCTTTCAAAGCGCCAGGGGTGCTGTTGTATGAACATGAGGCTCTCGGGCTGCACCCACACCCCTGGGGGCGAGGTGACGGTTTCAATACCAGCTGCAGATGTGTGTGCAGGGGCCTCAAAGTGGTTGTTGTGAACGCGATCTAAACCCACACAGCTGGCGCCTCATCAGACACATCTGTCCCTGTAATCCGTGTCAGCTCGGCGGTGGGACTGGCAGCACCGTGGTTTTAATCACCGGGAGGTTAATCATCACGGCCCTGGGCACACTCGCAAAAGCTGCCCTGCGCATGCTGATTCTGCCCAGAAGTCCCCACTGACATCAAGTCAGAGATGAGCTCCAGGATGAGGACGCAGTCTTTGTGTGGGTGGCTGGCGGGGAGCGCGCCCCAGATGGGGGCCCCTTGGCATGGGGACACGTGGACATAGGGTTGTCATTTCCTCCCAAGCGCTCCCCTAAGATGAGGAGCAGGTAGGAGGCTCCTGATGTTGATTTGCAAAGCTGAGCATGAGATTCTTGACATTTTTACAAGCATCCTCCAGGGCAGCAGCGCAGCCTGGGTGAGTCCTGAGTGACGCTCACCCTCCAGTTCTGAATCGACGGGGCCACTCTGCCGTCCACGTGGTGCCAGGCCAGCGCTGAGCGGGCGTGAAGGGCAGCGAGCCTGGTGGACACAATCTGATCGCTGGGATGGTTTGGCCTCTCTCTGTGTCCAGTTTTCAAAAAGCCTTCTTGTGGCAGATGTCTTGGCTTCCCTTTGGATTCGTATTGATAGAAATTTGCCGTGAGGCCCTTCCTCCGGAAGCTGAGGGGCTCAGAGGCAGAGCGGTCTCAGAGATCAAGCCCCCTTCCGTTTACCAGCTTATTTTTCACGGCTGGGGGCTAGTATTTTCTACCTTGGGAGGCAGACTTTTTGGGAAGGGTTTGTAAATATCTTTATTGCCTTTGTCTCATTGCAAAAGAAGCAGATCATGGACTCCTGGTAAAAATTTCCAGAAATGTGACTAAGTTATGCCAGAAGCAAGCCCTCTCCGCAGCCCTGCCCTCTGCGGCTGCCGGTGCAGAATCTCCCAGCAGTCAGTCTCCCGACTCCATCCCCACACGCGGGCCAACGTCAAGGCTGTGACTCCAGGCCCTTAGGGTGTGGTGGGCTCCAGGGGCAGCTGGGTTGGGTCCTGCCAGGCCTCTTATGTGCTTGGTGACCCAAGGACTGGATCTCATGGCTGTTGGGAGATCCTAGACAGAGTGTTTCTGGACACTTGCTAAGCTCCTCCCTGGTGATGGAGCCAAAGAGCGAATCACCAGGGCGGGGAGAGTGGAGTTTGCCTCACCTCCCACATGTGACTCCTGAGTCCGATGCTTGTGAGCTGTGTGATCTTGGGCAAGTCACCAAACCTCTCTGTGCCTCACTTTCTCACTTGCAAAATGGGGATGATGCAACAGTGCCCCCTCAGGGGGTTGTTGTGAGAACAGGCTGAACTAATCCCCGTGAAGTGCTTGCATCAGTGCGGCGTAACTATGTGCCCCAGAGTTGTGGGGGTGCTGGTTATTATCTAAGCACAAGGGCTTTGGTCCTGGTCTTGCTGATGTCTCCTTTCTCTCGGCACAGGCTGTGTTTTCTTCCGTGTTCTACTTTGCCTCTGTCCCTCTCTATCAAGGATTCCTCATCATCGGGTAAGCAGGTGCCAGCAAGGTGCCCACGGCTTATGGGCCTCTCAAAGCCCAGGGGAGGGAGGGAGGACAGTGGTCACCTTGGTCTCTGGCCCCTGTCTAGGCGGGTCCAGAGATGCCCTTTGGCAGTTTCTTGAGTTAATGGGGCTCGGAGCTGGCGAGCTCGTGGCCAGAGGGGGGCAGTGGAGGCCGACCTTGCTGCTTGGCAGCATTTGGCTTTAGCGCCTGGTGGAGAACCAGTGTGCCCGCGGCTCCCTGGCTTCCGGCTGCGGGTGGACATTTGCTGCCCTCCAACTCACTCGTCAGTGCCCTCGTCAGTGCCAACACAGCAGAGCCCACTGCCCGATCCCTGACTCTGACCAGCACGCAAGCTCCCCGAGGCCAGGCCCCTGCTGCTTCCCTCTCCAGCCTCGGGGGCTCTGCACGGCCCTGGCGCAGCAGGCGCTGGATAAGCAGTGTGGGGGGACTGGCTGGAAGCTGGAAGGAAGTCGGGTTCGGGAGGTGGGGCAGCCCAGGCTGACCCCCCGCAGTCTGGGTCTCACTGTGCTGGTTTCCCTCCTAGATACTCCACCATCTACACCATGTTCCCTGTGTTCTCTCTGGTCCTGGACAAAGATGTCAAGTCGGAAGTCGCCATGCTGTACCCCGAGCTGTACAAGGATCTCCTCAAGGTCTGCCAGTGAACTGATAATTTTCTTACTTTTGAGGAGACGTGGCAGTTTATATTTTTTTCTTAAAAAAAAAAACACAAGCATATGTAAAATATTAGACAGCTCAGTAATGTATTATCTGGGAACTAATGACTTCAGTCCCTGCCAGTTGCGCTTTGCAGAATTATGTCTGCTCCTGGAAAGGTCCATTCTACACATCTCAAAAGTGTGTGTGTGTGTGTGAGAGAGAGATATGTGTGTGTGTGGTGTGTGTATGTAATTGTTCTCAAGGATTTTTCCCCCCTTTAATTAAAAGGCAGATTTATTCCCACCTAATATCAATTCTCTTTAATTCTCTGTGTGCTCCCTCAGATCTGTGCTCCCGTTTTGATGAGAGCCAGCTGGCGCCTGGTGGGGTGAGGGGGTGTCACAGGAGCAGGGGGCACATGGCAACCTTCCTGTTCTCTCTTTCAGGGGCGGCCGCTGTCCTACAAGACGTTCTTAATTTGGGTGTTGATTAGCATCTATCAAGGTAAGGGGGGGGAGCACACCTGTTTATCTTGGGCTCTGGGGTGGACCCCTGGCTCAGCCTCAGCCTTCCACCATCTCCAGACAGGAGGAGAAGCAGCTGAGCCCTAAACCAGTGGTAGGACGCAGTGTCCCGGGGAGCTGCCCAGCACGTGAGGGTCCGCGAGGACCGTGAACTCACATGTGAGAGGTGGCGCTGTCGGCATAGTGCAAGTCGGAGAGAAACTCCTGCCGGGTGTCCAGCCCTTGTGCCAACGAGTGATTGCTTTCCAGCATATTCTGATACCTTTCCAAGGTCACCTTGTAGTTTCTGGAGCACATATTTCCTTCAGTGGCTTCCAGAGAAGGTCCCACAGACGGCAGAGGCCTTGTGAGGTGGCTTGTGTGTGAGCAGAAAAGATGCGAAAGTCTGTTTGTATTATTTGTTCCTCACATCTAGAGTTTCTGTGCGTGTGTAGGTTTCATCGTGTCCAAAATAGATCTGTGCCGTGGCCCAGGTCTGTGTGCACCTGCCTAATGCACAAATACACGCTGGCCTTTGGCGGTTCGTTGTTAATGTGTCTTAGTGACGGGGGACAGGCTAGCAGAAAGGCCAGAGGCCCTTGACTTTGTTGGCAGGAGGTTAAATTGCCATTTCAAAAATTGGGGGGTATTTTGAAGTCTTTGGACATGTGACACGCATCTGGTTAAAGAAAGCAAATCCCGCGGGGAAGTCCTGATGTCCAGTGGGTCTCCTTCCCACCCCACCTGTCTGTGACTCCCTCAAAGCAAGTGCTCACTTGGGTTTTGGGGTCCAGAGGCTTCCGGCCCCACCTTTAAGTATATTCTTGTGCTGTTGGTTCTGATCAACATGAGACAGTGGACACTGCCCGCTCGGCAGGGCTGCGTGGATGAGGACACCCTGGCTGGCCCCTTGCATCGCCTGGTCCTTTCACTTTCTCTCTGGGTTACTGCGTGTGTGTGTGTGTGTGTGTGTGTGTGCAAAGAACCCATACCATAAAAAAACCTGAACCAAACAAGAAGCCGCCATCTCATAAAAGGTGCGACCCCCTGTTTTTAAGATGCCACCGTCCAGCACGGTCACGCTGCTGTGAGCCGCTCTGGCGTCACCTTGCACACCTGTGCTCTGTCCCCAAGAAGCAGCAGCTCCGGCCCCGCCCCACGGCCCTGGTCCCCACCCGCCGCTTGCTCCGTCCCTACGGCTTCCACTCCCGTAGGGTCCGGGCAGTTGAGTCCCAGCGCAGCTGCCTTTTGTGGCTGTGAACTACTGTGAACGCGGCGTTGTTGTTACTGCAGCGGTCGTTACTGGGGAAGACGGCTGACATTTCTCCTCGTGCCTCCGCTCCTCTGAGTGACTCCTCCCAGCTGCTTTTCCTTTCTGCTCTTGCTCCTGCCCTTCCGCCTCGGCCCTCTCTGTCTCCCGGGTCCTCCCTCCCTCTCTCTGTAATTTAGCACCTCATGATAGAAAGTCAGGAGGAAACAGGAAAACCAGCAAGTGACACTTCCCTCCGAACCTTCGGGAGGCTCACGGACGATGAGCCTTACCACATGTCATGCTCATGTCCGTAACACGAATGCGCTGCCTTTCTCGCCTCAGTGGGAGAGGCAAACCTGAAGAGCTCCGGTGTGTGTGCACATGTGTGTGCGTGTGTGTGTGTGTGTGTGTGTGTGCATGCTCCTGGCGGGACCGTGCGGCAGGTCCCTGGCAGCAGCCCCCACGGTCCCTCTCCCCAGGGAGCACCATCATGTACGGGGCGCTGCTGCTGTTCGAGTCGGAGTTCGTGCACATCGTGGCTATCTCCTTCACCTCGCTGATCCTCACCGAGCTGCTGATGGTGGCCCTGACCATCCAGACCTGGCACTGGCTCATGACGGTGGCCGAGTTGCTCAGCCTGGCCTGCTACATCGCCTCCCTGGTGTTCCTCCACGAGTTCATCGGTGAGCGCTGGGCGGGGCTGGTGGGCGTGCAGGGCCCGGTGCCTGCTGAGGGAGGGCCGCAGGCCCGGCTCTGTGTCCCCAGGCAGTGCACCCTCCTGCCCTTGTCTCGCTGGAGTCCCCGGGACAGGGGGCAGCGGCGAAGTAGCCGAGAACTGAAACCTCGGGCTTCAGCATGGGGGGTTTTCTCTAACAGCTGCACCATGCAGATGGGCAGAGAGGGGGCGCCACTGAGTCTGCAGGACTAGAGTTGCTCCAGGGAGCCGGCCATCGTGCTGGGCTCTGGAGCCACTGACATGTCGGGTGTGTGGGTCTTACTTAGAGTCAGTGACTGGCCAGCAGGACTTGCACTGTCGCTGGCAGGAGAGACCTGCCGTGTGTCGTGGGAGAGGTTTCTTCGTGCCCCTTGTTGATCAGCAGACACCCTTGGGAAGGTTTTGGCCCGCTAATAGGCGCATCCCCGTGACAAGCAGTCTGGAGTGGGTTGCACTTACCCCGGAAGTGTCTCAGGATGGGTTTTGGAGCTCCTACTATGTTGTGTGCTCAGTGACTTGGGGTAAGGGTCACCGGTTGCTTGGAAGTTGTGGCTCTGCTCTCGGGAAGCTGTGGCTTTAGTTGTGAACCAGCCACAGGCCTGGGCGAGAAGCACATCGTGGGCCCCCGGCTGGCACTTAGTAGGTGCTGTCCGCCCCGGTCCCACGGTCAGGCTGCTCCCGACCACGTGCCTGCGGCCAGCCTCAAAGGAAGTGACGCCATCTGCCAGATTCCAAATCAGAAACACCCGTAGGAGCGTTTTGCTGGGAGTTTCGCTCCCCATTGTTGAAAGCAGCCTGTCGCGCCGGGAAGCTGCGGAGCAGGTCGGGAGGGGCGGGCGAGGACACCGTCCCTGCTTCGCTCGGCGAGCTCCCTCATGTGGGAGGGGGCCTGGAGCCAGTACCGGGGCCCTGTGCTGGTGACATGAGACGCCTTTGCTGTGAGCAGCTCTGACGTGGGGGCCTTCCGGAACGTCGCGCCACTCACGCTGTCTCCGTCTGCTTGCAGATGTGTACTTCATCGCCACGCTGTCCTTCCTGTGGAAAGTGTCTGTGATCACTCTGGTCAGCTGTCTGCCCCTCTACGTCCTCAAGTACCTGCGAAGGCGGTTCTCTCCTCCCAGCTACTCGAAGCTCACGTCCTAGGCTGGGGACTGGGCCGGCCGGGGGCCCGGGCTCTGCTTCCCGAGGGACCGAGTTCCAGTTCCGTTTAGCGTCACCGCCGCCCGTGGTTTGCAGTCACTGCTGGGGGCGCCGCGCTGCCCGCGTTGGCCTGGCTGGAGCCCGACCCTGGACAGGCAGCCCGTCCCGCCGCAGGGGCGCAGAGCCGCGGGGGCCTGCCTGAGCGCTGTGGCCTGCGGGCCCCGGGGGCGAGCTTCCTTACGACTTGAATCGTGTGGTCGTGTGATAAAGTCTCCGTCTAGTGGAAGGTCGCAGGAGGGTATTTTATTTTTTTATCACTTCTAACCTGTGTGTGCTCCTCATGTCTTTTTTTGCTCTTACAAATTGGTCAGGTGGTCTTTTGACACTCTTGGGGTGGGCGTGGGGGGCGAGGGGGACGTCTGCTGAGCTGTTCCCCAGGTGACCCGGGGTGGAAAGGCCACTCCGGCTCCTGCGGGTCTAGGGCGTCCCTGCCAGGGAGGGGCAGGTGCCCCCATCAGCATCGCCACCCTGCACTCATCTGCACCTGGACAGAGCCTCTTGCGGGGTGCCGTCTGCTTCTCGGGGCCTGGTACCAGCTTGGAGGGGGGCACGCTCCAAGGAGCCCTGTTTTTCAGCAGAGCTGGTGGTGCAGGAACCGGGCCACGCGCGGGCCCTCAGTGTGCTGGCAGCTTGATAAGAGACTTGACGACTCTTCAGACAGCAGCACGTGCGCGGGACTCTGGTCCGAGGGGGACGGTTGGGGCCAGACCCTTCGCAGCCCCCGCATCCGTTTCCTGTCGGGACTGAGGGGTGAGCTACACAGGTGGAGCTTCGGTGGGAGGAGGCTGCGGCCGCCCGCGGGTCTCCGAGGGAAGCGACGTGCGGACAGACGTGCGGACAGGCCGGGCTGGAGTGAAGGGGCCCCTCCCGCAGGGGATGACGCGGGCTCAAATCTCAGGGCAAGGATGGGGTTCGTCAGCAGGGCGGGATGTGGATGCTGCTGCGGGAGTCGTGGGGCTCAGTGCGGGCTCTTCCGCAGCTGGCGTGTTGCTGTCTTCGATTTGTGATTAATTCTTGGAGTTCCTGCCCTTCAGCACGTCGCCCCCGTGTGTGCTTCGGAGATGTCAGGCGCGGCCTGGCCCGACCCCGCCCGGGGTCTCCTGCTCCTGGGCGGGGGAACATCGGGAGCAGGTGGTCCCTCGCCTTTGGAGCGCTCCCCACGCCCCGTGCCTGTCGCCCCTGTGCACTTTGTCCAGCGAGCACCCTGGGAAGCTCTCCCGCCAGTCACTCAACGCCGCCTCCGGCCACAGCGGGCGCTGCCGGCGGGGTGGGCACTGGCTCCCTGCGTCCGAGGGTCTGCATGGCAGCTGCTGATGGCGGTTGGGTGTGCGTGGGGCGAGTGGCATGTGTTTGCTTTCTCTCTCTTCCCCGCTTCCGACCTCCCCTTCTCTAGGAGAATGACCAGGCCGGTGTCTCCATCTGGAGTTGTGACCCTCCATGACAGTTTGGATTCTGATGGCGGGAGTGTGTGTGTGTGTGTGTGTGTGTGTGTGTTGCGGAGAGAGGCGGGTGTTCTTCCCCACATGCCAAGGGGGGCGTCCCCAACAGCACCTCGATGTCAGAGCTGCCTGCAGTTTGCAGCCTCCGGGAGCTGGGGCGCCCTGGCGCTGGGCTTTCCCTGTTGAAAACTTAGTGACGTTCCGACCCCAGTGGAGTCCGCCCTGCCCTGTCCCTCCGACCCCTGCACCTTCACTGCTGCCTGCTGTGCTCCCTGCTGGAGACCTGCGTCCTCCTGACAGTACCTTGGAATGTATTTTGAGTCCTGTGCTCTCCGGCAATGGACGTGACGACGCCTTTTGTTTCTTCCACACTTTGGTTTTCTGCTTTTGTGTTGGTCCCGGGGTGGCCATGGGAACACCCTCTCGCCTTTTGGGGCAGAATTTTGAACCTTTGCCAAAATCACCAATGGACCTACTCGATCTGCCCTGTTTAGAGCCAACACCTACAGGCTATTTTTATCTTTTCCACACATTTGAAATGTACGTGTTGTGTGTACGTTGTCTCAAGTCTTCGAAGAGATACTCTGTTCTCCTGGCATTAAATCCCATCCCTTCCAGCTTCATTGTCATTCAGAGATAGACAGGAGCTTTGTAAATACAACAGATTTTATTCCCCCACCCTGCTGCTTTTAATGTAAAGCATTTTGTCACGGATCTAATTCTTAGGAATTATTTCCATAGTGATGTCCATTTCGTCTTGGGGAAAAATATATATATAATACGTCTTTGAATGGAACTGAAATGTACACACGTCAGCCCCACTGTGGAGCCCACGGCTGCGGCAGCCACTTCTCCACCAAAGCAGCATCGCCTGCGGTTCTACCTCCCCTACCGTGGGGGGCTGTGGGGTTCTGGTGTGTCAGTGAATATTGTGTTTGTCGGGGGCAGGCGGGAGGGAGTGGTATTTACAAAAAAATCCTGTGGCTGATTGATTATCTTGCTGCTGTGGGGCTGACTGTGAGCGCATCTCGAGTCCGTGGCTCCTCCAAAGCAGGTCCCTTTGTCACCTCAGATCTGTCACGGGGGACAGTGTGTGTTGACCAGCGGGGCACTCTGGCACAGTGCTTTCCTTTAGTGGGAATCCCCAGATGAGTTCTAATTCCTGTGTCCCTGAGCAGCCCCCACCCCATCTGCCAGCGTGGCTGTCGCTGCCGCCTAATAAAGCTTGTGTACTTTCTGCCTTTGGGGATTATTTGAATTTGTGTGAAAAAACGAATTCGGTGTCAAAACCAGGGCTTCTGATGATCATGCTCCTACTTTGTGCTGTTTTCTTGGTACAGGAAATGTAAATTGCTTTTTTTCCCCCCAGTTACAAAAGTTATTTTGATTTCAGCAAAAGATAACCCCAAACCATGCATTATATATTATTCTGTACTGTTGTGGGAATTTCAAAACGTGATCGGTATAAATAGAAAAAAGGTGGAAAATGTTTTATGATGCGTATTTTATTTATACACACTGTCCTTGATCTCTTTGGATCTCCTCCTGTGTAAAAAAAGAAAAGTGCTAGGGGAATGTGGAATGCAGTCATTTAGGGTTCAGATAAAAGTTTTTTTTTTTTAAGATTTATTTATTTATGCATACAAGAGCTGGGGTACAGGCCAGAGGTGCAGGGGCGGGGGTGAGAGAATTCACCAGAGATGGAGTGGGGAGCAGAACAGGTGGATCTACTGAAATGCACTGCTGAGGGGAACAGCAGGGATACAGCAGAGGTCTGCTGCGCCATGTGGGTTGCTCCCTGGCTGGCCGGGGGTCGAATTCGTGCTGCAGAGGCTGCGATTGCTTCATAGTGCTGTGCTTAACCCCTTGCGCCACCAGGGAGGCCCGCAGATAAAAGAGGTTTTGACGCTGCTGTGCAGAGGGAGAAAGCTTCATGTTTTATTAACTGAAGCCAGTGATTCTCAGCCAGGGGCGATTTTGTCCCCTTGGTCATTTTCAGTTGTCACAGCTGGGGGGGGTTGCTCTGCTGACATCTCCCCCAGGCTCCCCTGCAATGCACAGCAGCTCCACAACCAAGAATGCCCCCATTCCAAATGTCAGAGGCAGAAACCCCAACACAGTGTGCACGTGAGTCTGTTTTACTGTTTGTGGATGTGAGTCTGCCTTCCTAGGGGACCCAGCAGCACAAACCCAGTCCCAGGATGCCAGCCCCACGCCTAACATTTGCATCCCTAGCCGCTCAAACGGGGGACACAGCTCTGGTGAGGTGGGCCCAGGAAGGAGGATGTTCCTTAAAGCCCTGGTCTCAAGGTCAGAGGACCCTGGTCTCAAGGTCAGAGGACCCTCCCTCTGGGCGGGAATCCACCCCGGGGGCTGACACGCCTCCGCCAGGGGGAGCCCGAGTCCCGAAGACACGGCTGTTTCCTGTTTTTCTGCAAGGGCCGAGCTGCAGCCCCTGGCCTGTCTCAGGACACAGCTTTCTGCGCCCCCGGCTGGCTGCATGGCCAGGGGCGTCCTGAAAAACAGACATTTCTTTTTATGTTGTGGACCAGACTGTTTCACTGAACTTAGTAAAAAAAAAAAAAAAAAAAAAAAAAAAGGCCGGTGTATGGGGGAGATGAATATTTATTTGATCTTGGATATTTGCATTTTTGAATAATTGGCAACTGGAGGGGTTTGCCTGCCGCTCTTCAGGCTGATGAGGTTTTGAGACGGGATGTTCCAACTCCTCAAGTACTTGAGCTGTTTTTGTTATGGAACTTTTCAGGGTGACATGAAACCCTGCGGTATTTGTGATGGATTTGCTCACCTCAAAATAGAACTGTAGTCGCTCCAAACTTTCCAGAAGCTGGAGCACAGTAACAGAATTCATTCAGGACTTGCTAATTTCCTACTTTAAATGGGTTACATAACAGAACCGGCCCGCCTTCGCGCCTCTCAGAACTACCCATGAAGCATGGTGAAATGTATCATTAAAAGCTAGAAATAGCTTTGCTAAACTCTGGGAAAAAGAGGTTTTTTTTTTCTGATATCCCCCCCTTTTTTTCACCCAAACATTGCATAATGTTAAAAAAAAAAAAAAAGTCAACTCCAAGGGATTTAATTTCATTCTCCATGTGGCTGTGGTCAGAGGGGTAACTTAAGCGTTTTGGGGACTGGCGGATTTTTGGAGGATCACGCATTCCCAGATCGGCTTTCATCCGAAGCCTGAGCTGAGAAGCCAGCCCAGTCCTGGGGTTTCTCCCATTCCCTCCTGCTCCCCTTTTGCGGACGGTTCTCTACAACATAATATCTTTTCAGAAAGCCTGCCTTCTGGTAGGAATGCCCAAACAAAGCCACCCTCAGCTTTCCATACCGAGGATTTGATTTTGAAATAGATTCCCCCTAAAATTTGGGGTGACTGAATCATCTATGAAATCACCAGCCCCACCACCTTCCTGGGCACCCCATTCTGTGCCCAGCTAGGTCTCCTTTCTGAACTCAGCCTGCAGGTTCTGTTTCTTACTCTAAGGCCTTGGTGTTCTGAGCCTGTGCTGCCCATTTTTCACGAGATTTAAGAGAAAAAATATTTTTATTTTATGGGGTCCCGATAAATCCTTCCAGAAGGATTGCAGAATCCAGAAAGGGGGCTATGGATTGTGTGGAATAATGTTGGTGTTTTCATTCACTCACTACTGTTCTGTGTGCTGGGTACTGGCCCTTGACTGGAGGCCCAGCTGAGGCCCAAATACAGGACTCCCTACCCTCCTAGTGATTATCTTCTCCAGTGTGTAAAACAGAAAATGAACACACACATACAGACTCAAATACCCTTTGGCAACAAAGAGGGACAGGCAGACACTAACGAGGAAGATTAAGGGACCCTCCAAAGGGGTGGCCACTGGAGCAGAAACCTGAAGGATCAGAAGGAGGG